ATAAGCTGATGTTTCGGCGGATTTCATCTTCCTCAGAGCCTGAAAAGTTCAAGTTGACAGCAAACTATTCGGCAAAACACCTCCATAACCAAACAAGGAAAACGCTAGACCAAAATTTCAATCACATTAAACACAGGCACACTCACCGCTTTCTATGAGGCTTCCAATGAGTATGTCGCGTGAAGGCCAACCGCACAGAATTGTGCAATGTGCCCCTCCCATCACAATAGCAGGCTTATACACTGGCCAATATCACCCGTGATAGTGAGGCATTCTTTCTTGCGGTTCATTTTCGCATTTCTGGAATTAATCCAGAACGTCTCGAGAGTTTCGCGCGCCTGTGTTCTCGATTCTCGTGTAAGGATCGTGACACGTACTTTAAAGTCCTCTCCGTTATGCCTCTAGGTCCTATGCGTGCCTTGTGGGGTATTTGGTAGACGTTCACCGGCTAGGTGTTCTTTTATGCGGACACAGAGAGGTCTGCCCGTTTCGTCAATGTATTCGTCTCCGTACGCCTTACGGAAGATTAGACAAACTATACCCGAGCTCATGCAATCACCGTCTCTACCACTGGGGCAAGTTACGCAATTCTGCGTTGCACATAAACGGTCATATAGGCGGTTACGAACTTGCTGGCGCCTAAGATTATTCGGTGACATTTCAACTACGTTTACCGGATTCTCTAGACCCGCCCTTCTTAAGCAGCGTTTTATAGCTGTACTCACATCATTTGAGATGAAGGGTAAGATAAACGGAACCTTTTCATCGCTGGAGTTGTCGTTTGGGCGTCTAGGATTTCCACTACACCTATCCCGAGCTACAGTTTCGTAGCCGTTAGAAATGGCTATTTGCCGTGCCAAGTTTAGGAACTCCTCTCTCTACTCTGTCCCCGTGCACATCTTGGTTGCTGTTCAAAGCATGTTTATTACAACCGCCCTTTTCGTGTGAGAGGGGTGAGAGGAGAGGTAATGAACCAAAATGTTTTTACTACTTGGCTTTCGGTACCACTTCGTAGTGCAGCCATTTTCTGACATGTTAATTTGGACCTTCAGGAATGGAAGCCAGTTTTTTCGGCTTTTCTCGGGTGAACTTGATATACTCTGACTGTGCGTTTAACAATTCGAAGCATTTGTCCAATTCCTCTTGTGTTGAGCAAAGGACAAAACAGTCGTCTACATACCTACAGTAGAGTAGCGGCCCGAAATCAGTCACCGGTGCTTCCACCTTAGACATAAATGCAATGGCAAAGCTTGGAGCCAGTCGTTGCCCCATTGCCAACCCTCTTATTTGAGCGTAGTACTTTCCGGACCATCTGAAGATTGAGCAGCTCAAGCATTCTCCTAAGAGTGTCATCAACTGCTCTATCTTGAAGCCATACGTGTTTATTTCTCCTTCGTATTCTATAAGAAGTTCAAATATGGCTTGCATTGGGTAGTCATTCGACACGTTTCTGTAAAGGGCGGTGACGTCGAAGGACTCCATCACGTACGCGCTGCAGGGCTGTGCAGTACATAGACGATCCAGAAACATCTGGATATTCGTAAGATGGGCAGGAATGTGTTTTAACAACTGGTTAAATATTAGGGTTAAAAACCATGTTATCTTATCGGTTGGCCCGTCTACACAGCTAATGATAGCTCTAACCTTAAACAATGATGACGGTAGACGCAAGATCATCGTTGGATACTAACATATGGGTTTTGATAAGTAAGTACAGGACGGGACATGTTGGTAAGTCAATTTTGAAATGAGAGATAACTGATGGTTTTAACCCAGCCGCTCTTTCCATTTTAACCCATTCGTTGTTTAACTTTCGGTGTTGACTATTAAACTCCTTCTCAGATGATGGGCGATAAAGTGAAGCATCTTCAAGATACTTTTTCGTTATCTCTACATCTAACTGATAAGGAATTACGACAAACTCTCCACTCTTATCACTAACGGATAGTCTTATGGTTTTCAACCTTATCAGCTTTCGTACCTCTCGCATACCACGTTTTTGCACTTCTGTGAGGTTTGAGCTGTATCTTTTCGAGCGATGGTGACTAAGGACTTTGAAAGTTCGACTTTGATGTTTTCGTAAACATCCGAAATTTAACATCAACTTCATTATTGGGCTCTTGTTGTCTAAAGAGTGGCTGAGGAAATGGTGCTATTGCTAGGGTCCCCATTTGGTGTTCTTTGCAGCTATTTTGCGTTTCATCTGTAGCTTTTTGCGGAGTCTATCTTGAAGTTCATGTAAACCACATGCGACCCTACTCAAGATTATCTTAGAAATGGGTTCAGATGGTGAGAAACTTGGTCCCAATTCTAATAACGAGCGCGCACCATCGGGGAGAGTCATGCCTGTTAACACGGTTAACCTTAATTTTCTTGCACATTATTTATCCTACTGCCACCTGTTTGTTGTTCGTTAATGGTATTTCTGTGCGCTCTTGAAGCCATGTTATGCGATTTCCTCGAAAGGTCTTCGAATTTTCTCCGCAAAGTCACCTTAGCATTAGACCTAACAGAGCTGCAAATCAACACTGAGCTACCCACTATTCTCCTCCAGAGGCGGTCCTCCAAATACTGAGCACAAAAATTTTCCTTCGTTTCGCACTTCAACCACTTGATGAACATCTGGTTTTGTCGGCTTCGTAGACAGGTACGTAGTATTCGCAATTCGATGTCCAGTACTCGGTGACAGTCCTCTGGTAGTCCGCATACACCGTGTAGTCGTCGCCGTTTGATGAAGTTCGGGACGACCCGGTGTTTTAGACAGCGGCGGAGAAATTTTGGTTTAGAGTTTTCTTTGTTTGGTTATGGAGGTGTTTGGCTGAATAGATTGTTGTCAACTTGACCTTTTCATAGCCTGAGGAAAGCTGAGGAAGGTATCCGACGAAACGTCAGCTTATTCGTGAATAAAGAGTAAAAATAACAACTCGCGTTTGCTCAACAAGAATACGAAGAATTCTATTTCTAGTTCACATAACCCAGCTAATTATACATTCTATTAATCTTCTATATATCTCTCTCAAGGACATACGTTTGTTGATCCATTTATGGTAGAGCACTGTTGTCTTGGAAGATAAAGAGTCGTCTGAAGGCATTTTCCGCAGTGGTTGCTTGTCGAACACTTTCTCAGCAAGCGGTTGTCGAGAGCTCCATTGATTGCATTAGACAAAACAGTTACCTATTCACCTCCAAATTCTTTAAATTCCTTTATTCTTGAGCCATCATGAAGCAGTACTGGTCACTTTCGATTGATGAGCGGCGATCGCTTCTCTGTGTTTCAATGAAGAATTTATACCGGAAGATTCGACCATCTAAGCACTAAACAGCTACCGTAACCTTCTTACAATTTAAATTTGGCTTCGAGAAGTGACGTTTCTCATCATCTTTGCCTAAGCCGGCCCATATTGCTGTCAGATAATGAAGGGAATTTATTTTAAGTGGACGTATCACAATCAGGTCAAGAAACGACTTGACCTCACAAGATTGGTTTACCACTTTTCATTTCAGCGGCACAAATGAAACATAAAAAGAGAAAGGATAAAGCTTCCGGCGTTGATCAATCGCTGAGGATGCACCATGCATTCGATTTCATTAAGCATCGTTTGGAGGTGACTGAATGTATATCTGGCCATAACAATGACTCGCGGTGGCCTACCGATGTATCGAGCTAGTGCTGCTATTCTCCTAGACAAGTATGGTACGAATTTGCCGATCTCGGATGGAACGGAAAGCTTAGTGGGCCATGGACTCGGGAATCGATTCCACATGTGTGTTGCAGAGCGCCCCCACTCATTGCGCCGTAAGCGCCCTTTAATAAAACATAGGTAGACAAAAAGTGAACCACTGCCATGAATCTTATTTGATATGAAGGCATCGAAACTTGAGTACAATAGCCGAGACAATTTTTGCAACATTCCACTTCTTCTGGAACTGCAGTGTAGTCGTCAGCTTGTTTGCATTTTATCTCTTAATCTCGTTTTGCGCTTCGCTTTAACCAAATGTCACTTTGACTTCCGCCGGATAAAACATAATCCAAATTTGCTTTAGAAACTTCATTCAAGCGTTCCGACGCTTTTTTTGCTTCTTCTTCATTTATTTCCCTTATTTCTGACAGTTGTTGTCAAAGTTTCTCACGAGTCGCTCATATGTGTTACCCTTCCAAGCGCTCAAAATACGTTTTCATTTCATCACAAAAACAATGATAAAGTAAGAGACGGGTGATTGATAATGGCACTGGTAGATAGAAAACTAGTAGAGAGAAACGCAGATCAAGGGCATCCATGGCTTTGTGTGTAGTGCGCGAGCTCGAGGAAAGAGAGGTCGTGGTTCAATTTGGCCTGGGGTCCAAGCTTTGCGAATATCTCAGCGTCGTTCTACTTGATTTCACATAATATCCTGCTGTGAAAATTTTAGTGCGTAGTAAATAAAAAGGGAAAACATTATGATGAAACACGTAAACATTTTATTACAAGAGCCTTAATCTACAACCGGTCACATTTCGAATGACAACTTCGACCCCGGGTCTTTTTAGACGGAAATTCTAACCCAGCGCTTTGGGTAACATTGCTGTCGTTCCAACCAAAGAACAACCAACTAACTACCTTTCTCGGCATTCATAATTCGACTCTTAAGTATCATTTCCGGTGTGTAATTCAAAACAATAAGTCCGACATGTATACCCGCAAACAATACAATGCCTAGGAAATTTTGACCACTTGGACGACACCTCATCTCGTAATGGAATGAAATATCATGATAACCATGAATAACTAACATTTTCAACTTAACCACAGAGCGTATATGGCTAAACTACCAAATATTTCTTTTATCAGTAAGCGTGTGCCTTAGAAGGACTTGAAATACCCGCTCTGCACGAATCGAATTTGTTCTGTGGCTTCGTTGTTATCGAAACACCATCTGCCTGCTGATGTCACGTGTTCAACCACTAGGAAAACACTGCAAGATGCACGCGACAGCCGTTTTCCTGGAGCTTCTGAAAATTCATGACCCCTACGGGATTCTCATCGTCAAATACCTCTGGAAAACCAGGAATCACGTGGGAACGTCTCGCAGCGCCAGTCGTCATATTCAACGCTATCAGGGTGAGCAGCTGTCCTCAAAATGCGCTTTCATCGCAGCTGCACGAATCGGTGAGAATGTTCAATGATCAGTTGACGACGTAAACATATTGACGAGTAGGCTGCTCGTATATATAGTGCCCCTCCACTAACCTCTAAACCTCTGCTACGCTACAACGAAAATGAGTGTAAGTTTCTTGAACAGCTTTAGTTTAGTTCTTCATTTAACGTAGGAGCAGTAGTAGTATAGGTAATAGACTAACTTGCACAAAAAAAATTCGTGTTCAGGACAGGAACAGCTCAGAAATCTCGCCGTCCTCTACTGGTGTGACTGGTGTGATTATGGGAGCGATCAGGAAGACATCGGTGAGTGTTTATGGTTTTTCTTTTGTCACTAAGAGCAGATCCTGAAAGTCCACATTGATTTCGGCAGTATACTGTAGAATTCAGACTGCCGATAGATAGGTTGTTAGTTCGCTGAACTATGTTCGCTTCAATCTAACCAACCAATAGAAAGGTCACAGTCACTGCGATGGCCCATCAGCAGTAAACAAGGCCATCGCATGCGATTGTTTTGGACCGACCTAATGGAGAATGTCGCGGAACGGCCGTAATACGAACTCATAAAATTCCTTGCGGTCCTATCTTGTGGTGAAATAATGGTGAATCGCTGCAATCATTGATTTGATTTTTATTTGATGGACGACATATATTTATTCTCAAGAATTTCTCGAGGTTATGAGTTGGAAGGTGCTAGATTTTCAGGATACGTTCGTGAACACTTTTAGCTCAATATCGGGAACCGGACATACCGATCAGGTACAGGATGTACTCATTCTTTGTTCTGCACTCGATTTCATGCTGACTTTCCTTCCTTGGAAATTCCAAAATCATTTATTACTCTTCTTAATCATGTATTTTTTTAGCCAAACATCGCTGCAGGAACGACCAATGAAATGCCGTCTGACGAGCAACAGGTATTTTTTACTCAGGGCTGACCTTTGTTTGCAGTCGTCAATACATAATGCGTGTTCGGTTAGGGTACCAGTTTTGGAGCGGTGAACAAGTGTTATGAATAAAGTTGTGTTCTTCTGAATTTTTGCTCCGAGTCGGACATTGATTGCTCACCTTAGCACATTTGCGGCGTGGCTTAATGTTAAATCTGCTTAATAATCACAGGTCTAAAAGATTTTAAAGAGCTAGCATTTTCAGAAACTTTGTCGCAGTCGTGATAGTTAAAAGACCCAACGCCACTTTGGGTGACACCATCATATCCTGTTCTTTACGAAATCTGCGCTGTTCAATCGCTTCGGTGTTCGAAATTCAGAAAAAAAATATTCGACGACGAAAACCAAAGTAAAACTTTTATGGGTTCCAAAAAAAGAATCTTTTCCTTATGGAATAAGGAATGCTGTATCTTCTTTACTAATATCTCAAGTTCTTACAGTCGTTTTTATTTCTGTTATCAGAGCTCACTAAGATTTGAGTTATACTTGCTGAAAGATGCAAGGCGCAACCGTCTATTCATACACACGCATGTAGTGAAATGAACACATTTCGTCGAAGAGTTGTTAAATACGTTCCATAGGTATTGACGATAAGAGTGTGGTTTGAGTTGTTTTCGATGATAAGCAAACGTTGCGGATTTCTAAATTTGGCGCATTATAGAAGGAACGTCGTATGTCCGACATCGATCACCTTTGGGAAAGTGCTCGACGAATCAACGGATACTAAGAAAATCAAGAGTTCTCTACTTGTACATATACTGTGTTTTAAAGTATTACTTCATTACTATGTCATGTGTATCAGATAGTAGAAGAGGTAGAAATGCCTAGAATGTAGAATATAATAACTGTATAGTAGGGCACATTTTGCCCAAGAGGGTGTATGCTATACTTGTAAGGTTACAATTTGCATTTCTATATTATACCGATATAAACTATTAAGTTGCGTTGTTTAAGCACTGTTTTCGATTCCGGCATTTTTATTTCTACTTTATTTTTATCTGATCCATTTTCGTCTACTGTGTGGGTCCCAGCACTTCTTACATTCGATTCGTTTCCTCGCAGCTGTTGTCCACGAAGATCTTCCAACTTTTACGTGTGGCTTCGGTTGCTGCCTGAGGATTTCCATTTCATCTTGAATGTCGTAGAATGCTGGTCGAGCAATTCTCCTAGGAGTTCCCAGGATCGACTTTCTCTTAACCTCGGCATTGGAATATGAATGTGTCGTTTTCTTGTTCAGCAATCGCGAGGTTTTTAAACAGCATACATTTACTTCCATAAAAACACAATACAATACAACGTTAGCTGACGTTTCGGCAGTATCGCCTTCTTCAGAGCCTGGAAGGGTATACTGATATACGATCTAATAGGCCAAACGCTTCAATAACACTTACAAAAAGAAGAAAAACTATGGTAATTACACGATCAACAACTTCTCGAAAAACCCACCGCTTTTTTTCGTAACTTCCAATGAGGAAGTTTAGAACAGCTGATTATAGTCGCATGTGGTTGACGACTGTCGACCGACGCTGAACAAGAAAACGACACATTCATCTCACAGGAGTATTCGTTCTTTTATGAGCTTACACGAGGTTGATAATGATGTTTATTTTCGGCTAACGTTTCGACGTCTTCGTCTTCCTCAGAGCCGATGATCCGAGTCGATGGTCCATGATTGTTGTTCGCCTCGATGTGGCAACTTCGCCTTCGCGTCGAGTCAGGTCTTCTTCAGTGAGCCATCTCCTCGAATGAGGCATGCTTACTCAGTGATGCCCTTTTATACACGATGCTGATGGTGGATATAACGATAATGTCCGGTGATAACAGCTTGTTTTTCTTCCGGACATAATCATCGCGCACATCGTGCAGAAGTCGGTGTTATTATCAGCTAGCACAAAGCTCTCCCAGAAGTGTTGAGATAGCCGGGTTGGAGCGTTCCCAATCGGAATGCAGAGAGTGATTTTTTCCTAAGCAAGGTCGCTATCAATTTTTTGACCCTGGAGGGACGAGGGGCTTGGTTGGCCCCGGAGCAGAGTCGAATTAGCACCATGCTCGTGAAGACGGACAGTATACCACTACTCTATCCGCCGCTGATTCCGGCGTGTGTTTCGATTTTTCTCAAACCTTTTTCTTCCTAAAGTACTGAACATTTCACAGTTCTGTAAAGGTGCAGCTGTGGATCATTACCGTGATCGATACTGGGAAGCACTCTATGTCACCTCTAAAGCGAGTATTTATTTTTACTGAACAGGCCGTAATCTAGAGAGAACCAATACATCTCGTAAAAGTTTGATACCTGCAAAGTCATAAACTGGAATCGGTCAGAGTATCTCTATCTGGACGTGGAAACGATAAAAATGGTGGAACGCTTTATATACTACTCAGAACGAATGCGATGAATAACTTGTAAAAGGATAAGCGATAGGAAAGACGAACGAATGAGATGTCGAGGGAAGTAATCTGTTCCGGTGCCCAATTTTCATAATGCTTATTTAAGTGTTGTACACCACCTAACAGCACATGTTCGGCGTATTCCAGTACTTCTTTCATACGGTTCTCCACCTTGAACTGTCGTCCGCAAAAGTTCGCATGTGCCTGGGCATGGCTGCTTTTCCGACATTTTATCTTCTTCATGAATATCGTTAAATTTTTTCACAGTGAATACTCTCTAAAATAAATCCAAGGGCAGGTTTCCCATACCGTTCCCACTTTTCCTACTCCAGTTAGTAATTAGCTTTTGTGGACAGAATGCGCCTTTCGCGAAACAAGTTTGCTACCAGATGACTCATCCTTGAAGGATAGGAGTTTGGCTAGGTGAGCAATGGTCGAATCTGAAAGATGTATTTCAGGGAACCTCTAACTACTGCGTTAAGCGCTTTTCTCTATTTATTTTTCAAAACGAAAAACTGTAGTGCAGTAGTTAAAGTTACCCCGCGAAGCACATGTCGTTAGTATGGCATTCGACAAGCCTAACTATCTATTCAGTCACCTCTACAGCCTCGCGTTCCGCGCATCTCTGGCGGATAGATCGATATTGTGTGCTTTACTTTTTATCCTTGTGTCAGTTTCCTGTGTCAGTCGCCCAGTAGCAGCGGTCGGTTTAAGGTCACCCAGACCCGGATCACTCAAATGGATATTCTCTTTTTCAATGTTGATGATCTCTAACACTACTAAACCAAAGTTCCCGCGTATCACTCAAAACATCCAAATCAAAGAAGCTGAACAAAGTATGTCGTTATACGGGTAAGATGTGGTTCGCAGTTTTTTTGATAGCGTACGTGAGCCATCGTTGTACCTTTCACTGAAGAAGGAAGTCATTATACTTCTACCTATGACCATAACTGTGGATTGCCGAAAAGCTAACACTTATCAAACAAAATGACATCAGAGACCGTTTTTTTCTTTCGAAAGGAGTTCGTCTTCCACGACATCGACTACAGTAGACGGCGCAAGTTTTTTGTAAAGGACGACGTCATGTTTGGATGTAAACAAGGAATGTCATTCAGTCTCTAATTTGTCGCAATTTCTTTATTAGCATTTTGCACAAGTGGTGCAATATAACGATCATATTCCGTGTAGCAGTCATTCTCAAAGTTGTTCTACCGCATTCTTAGTGGAATCGATGAGTCACTGAAGATGAATTTTGCCCATGCAAAGTACATTGTCTTTGCATGACTTCATCAAGTGCACATATTGTTGCTTCATTATGAACTGGCAGATAATTCTCTTACCAATTGTTGACCTGGGATGAGTGGAGGTCTCACTTGACCTACGGGCTTGATAGCTCTTTTGCGCTCATGATGAATATAAATGAAGCGGCGCTTCACTTCTCCACAAAATCTTAAGTTAGTATATTTTTTGGAATATAATAGCACTATTCGTCAAGCACTCAGTGATTATTTTACAATATTTAACGCTATGTTTTTTTTATTTGATCCGTCTTCACGTCTACTGTGCGGACCCCAGCACTTCTTACATTTCATTCGTTTCCTCGCATCCACGAACATTTTCCGACTTCTACGTGCTCTTCGGCCACTGCTTGAGGATTTTTCGTTTTATCTTAAATGTCCTAGAATGCTGGTCGAATCGATTCTCCTTGGAGTCCTGGGATAGCTGGGTTGGAGCGTTCCCAATTGGATTTCAGAGAGTGATTTTTTCCCGGACAAGTCTAGTACCAATTTCCCGACCCAAGAGTGATGAGAGGCTTGGTTGGCCCGGAGTGCAATCGAAATAGCATCATGCTCGAGATGACGGACATCACCACCACTGTGCAATCCACCCCTAACGCTGTTTCTCTACTTATTTGGTTATTTGTTAGCGACAAATAGGAAAAAGAACATTGCTCTCAGCCACAACGTTGCTGATATTTGCAAAACTCTGGACCGCAGGTGTCTATGGTGGGGAACGAACGCGCTATTGTCCTTTCCGGGGAGTAGCGCGTTCACCACCACACCATGCGGGTCCTTCGTTTCGCCTGTCTCTCAGCTATTTCTATCGATCTTTGCCACAACAATCACCCGTCAGCGGGATTGATCTGGGGCACCCAAATTGGCATAGAACCCAGTTAAGATTTCCCACCATAGACACCTGTGGTCCAGAGTTTTGCAAATATCTCAGCAACGTTGTGGTTGTATTTCGCTTAGTACCCTGCCGCGAAATTATAGTAGGCAGAAAATAAAAAGGTATAATAATGCTCTCAGCGTTGATCAATTTCTGAGGCATGCGCCATGCGTTCGACTTAATTAAGCTACTATACTTCCAGAGAAGTCAGGTACCATTTTGCCAACCCCACAAGGATGGAAGGCTTGGTGGACCAGGGGCATGGAGATTAATCTTAAGTGTACGTGTTGCAGAGCGCTTCCGACCACTGCGCCATACGCGCAAGTAAATACTAATATGTTTCGCAACATTTAAAATGTAAATGTCATATTTTTATTCGCTGACCGTTCGCCTACTAAGTGTCTTCACCTGATCGGAAACAGTAACTTGAATCTTTATTGCGAATTGTGCAATGAATCGCTGCTACTTGTGCTATCGTAATTTCTGTCGATTTTTGTACTGAACAAAAACTTCTGAAAAAATGTGGCTCGATTTCAGAGGCAATCTTTGGACACCAGTGAAAATCCGCGTTCTTGTGAACTTCTCGTCAGCATCAAGTTCTTCATCTACGTGATGATCGAATAGTATGGGCATCTGATTTGTAAACGTTTCAGTTTTCCTTAAATGCGCTACAAATCGTCTTATTTTATTCTTAATGGTTAAAGTAATTACTTTTAGCACTCAGTCTGCTCTGTCTTTAGGCACTGTGGAGACGTTTCCACGTTCTCATCTCACTGTATGCATCGCGAAAAGACGGAGAAGCTGCCGAAGACACTGCAGTGATATTTGAGGGGTCACTGACAATTGTCCAAAAAACCATCAAGTCTTTTGAAAGTCGAAGAGAGTGTTGATGTGAAGACCAAAGCCCGTCATCTTAATACGTTGAACACCAGAAGAAATAATAAATGCCACGAAAATGGGTAGCAGAAATGATAGCGTCAACTTCAACGCCATTGCTAAAAGTTTTCGTAATAGCTAACTCGTTCTCCTCTTCGTTCATCATCAATATTTTACGATTCGAAGCCAGTTTTCTGCAAGCTACTGATGATTTCCTCCATAACTTCACATCAGAGCAGTTGCAAATGTATAAATTGAAGTCAATTTATAGAACGGATTTTGCTCTACCTATTTAAGAGCAGTTATAACGTCTTGGAACCGTTATTTGTTTTTAAAGTCAGTTAGAATAAAAATTTTCAAAAGAAAAAAGAAAGAAAGAAAGAAGGACGGAAAGAAAAAAGAAAAGGAAAGAATGTTTCCTCGTTTGCATTCTTGAAACATGAGTTTCGAAGAGAAAAAGTGATAAAAGAACGATTTCTAGGCCACATAAAACCAGGATTTCATCTCGCTCGAACAGGATATTTTGTGCATCATTAACGAAGAATCGCAGGTTCTAATAGTTCCTGTTTTGATCAATAACGTCTACAATTTTCAGATATGTATTGGTCTAGATTTGAAAAGGGCCGTTATTTTAGCACCATGTGAGTAAGTGCTTTAAAGCCAGTGAACTGCTACCTGACGCAGCTAAGAAGAAACAATTGGAAAAGCGGAAGAAATTCTTGATGTTCGAGATACGCCGCCTAAAGATGACTTGTGATCGGATGAGAATATTGTTATGGCCAAAGTTGCTAACGATTTCTAAGATGACTGTCGGTTGGTTACATTGTTGCAGGAACTTGGAACTAAAAGGCAGTAACTTTCAAAAGTTCGGAGTAAATTCCACTAGGTTTTTCCATTCGAGACTTTCCGAAATAGAAATTAATTGATAACAAAAGCACGGAGTTAGGTCATCTGTGCCATTAACTAATCCAAGATGATCAGAAATTGATGGCAACAGCCTACGGTGACCCATAGAATGTTTGAAAGCGTGCGTAGACCCAAGTTTGTGGCTAAACCAAGGGAGATCGCTGCGAATAAGTTATGTTAAACTTGGTTTTCAACAAGTAATGAATGTGAAGGAACGATGTGAAAGAATAATAATATAGTGTGCAGTGATGCCCATACTTCTCGACCACCTTGTAGTCACCATGATTCTCAACGATATCTGACACTACATTTCTACGAAGCGGAATTTTCGGTGACCGGGATGATTTCAAGTGTCGAACCTAAACCTTTGCCGATGTCACTTCTCGCTCGCCAGGTTGCGTCTCGCCTTGCCGAACAGGGGGCGAAGTCTGCTGCAAATAAAACGCAAATAATGCTATTGAACCAGAAAGCCAACTGGCGAAAACAGTGAGGTGAAAACCGAAACGATACTACTAAATTTACGTGATTCAGTGTAGTTAAGCTGTCGATAAATCAAACGATGTCCACAATTGTCGACAGAGCGGTGGCACCAGCTCTTCCGCTCGTTTTGTTACAAAAGCTCTGTATCACCTGTCACATGTAGTTCCGTTGATCGCTAAGTGACTCGAGCGGACGCCAGTAAATCTTCCATTTTTCCCTGTCGCGCGAAAGAGTAGCCCAGTGGGCTCTGCTCGCTCTAGGGACTCGTCGAGCATCATATCTTTCCTCAAGGCTTTTGGTGAAGAACTCTGACCATTGAGTCAGTGGTCTTCCTGCAATGCGTTTAACATTCCGAGGAATCCAGTCACTAACGGCTCTTGTCCATCGGTTGTCATTCACGCACATTACGTGTCCGGCCCACCTTATCTTCAACTGTTTGGCGTACAGAACGGCATCCTTGATTTTTGATCGTTGACGCAGGTCGGAGCTTCGGATCCCATCCTTTACTTGTGAGAAACGGGATACTAGCGTCGTCCTTTCGACTGCGCGTTCAATAACGCTGAGTGATTTTTCATCCTGCTCACGCAGCGACCAGGTTTTTGACGCATACGTTAGGGCCGGAAATGCGGCAGAGTCGAAAAGGTCTGCACGGAGTGCGGTGTTCTTTGTTCTCTTCACTATATCCTCGACACTCTTGAAAGCTCCCAAGCCGTTCGTTTCCTTCTGCTTAGCTCTTGAGCTAAGTCGTTCATCATATTGATTCCCCAACCTAGATCGACATAATTGGAGCATTCGAAGATATTCGTTGCGTTGAGCGCGAAATGTTCCTACGAAACCAATCCGTTCCTCATGAACGTCGTTTTTGTGGGATTTAGTCAATGACCAATCTTTCCCTAGGCTTTATCAATGTCGGCAAGCATACGTCCCGCTTGGCTAATGTTTGAAGTTATAAGGACGATGTCATCAGCAAAGCGAAGATGGTTTAACTGCCGGCCGTCGATTTTCACTCCCATATTATCCCATTCCAAGGTTCACATGACGTTCTGGAAGGTGGCGGTAAATAATTTTGGCGAGATGGTATCTCCTTGCCTAACTCGTCTTTTGACGTCGATGTTAATATAGTTGCAGAATAGTGATATCTTGGTTGTGAAGTTTTTGTACAGCTCACGAAGAATCTTTATGTACTCAGTAGCGGCTCCTTGACTGTCAAGGGCTTCCATGACTGCTTCTATCTCAGTTGAGTCGAATGCCTTCCTTAAATCGGTGAAGGTGGGGCAGAGCAGTCTTTAGTACTCTCGTGATACTTCAGTGAGTCTTGTTATCGTGTGGATATTAAATTCTTTTCGAAATCATGTTTGCTCACATGTCTGTCCTTCGTCCAGTGTTCTGTCAATCCTGTTTAGGATGACTTGAGTGAAAAGTTTGTAGACGACAGACAGCAAGCAGATTGAGCGATAGTTGCCGATATCGTGCAGGCCACCCTTCTTGAACAATAATACGGTCTTACTGGTCTTCCACTGAGCAGGGACATTGAATTCAGACAGCTAACGTGTGATCAACCGAGCAAGTGTGTTTACGAGCACTGGCGAAGGGTTCTTCAGGTGTTCTCATCTTATCACCTCCGGACTTGTCCTTCGATTTTTTACCGACGAAATGGCTTGCCGGATTTCGGAAGGGAGAACCGGTAGTACAACGTATCCCTCCTCCTTCATTTCATATAACGGAAGGTGGACGTGGCTATCGAAGAGATCTGAGCAGTATTCGTGAATTATTTTCTCCATTGCCTTTCTGGACTCTGTAACTATTTCGTCTGAGCGTCGGAATGCAATCATCTTGGTCTTTTAATTGGCGAAGCTTCGGTGGGCTTTGTGAATGCTTTTCCCAGCCTCTTCAGCTTCGACCGTTACTGCTACTCTTCTGTCTTTAAAATCTTCTTTTATTTACCGCCTATCTGCATTGTATCGCAAGTTCGGACATCAGTTCGCGGTTGCCTGCAACTGGTACAATTCCACGCTGGCGTATCAGCTGGAGTGTTTCTGGAGACAAACCTCTCTTGGTGACTCTCGAACTTTCGAAAGCTTTCATAGCGATAACGTAGAGATGTTGAATGAGCCGGTCGTATTCTCCGTTGATGTTATCGGCACCTTTCCAACAACTGACTAATGAATTGAATAAGTACCAGTTTACGGTGGTTCTGCGACTTCGGTTTTTGAATTTAGCGGGTTTTTCTCCTTTCAGCGAAAAATAGAATCTTGCACGGAGGAGGCGATGATCGGATCCCGTGTGGAATTTTGGGACAACAGCAACATCGGTTAAGCAAAACCTTTTATTTATTATGATGTGGTCTATTTCGTTATGGTACTCTCCACTGGGAGACTCCCATGCCCAGCGCTGAAGGTGGGGCTTTTGGAATTGCGAGTTATCATGGATGGTCTTGGTCGTCCTGATAAACTCAGAGAGCCGCTCGCCTTGTTCGTTCCAATCTATTCCATGGGTTTCAATGTGACGTTCTTCAGACGTTCTTCTTCGCCCAATCTTCGCGTTAAAATCTCCAATGATGACCTTGAAGAATGTATGGTCTTCTCTGCAGAACTTCTTCAAGTCCATATAGAGCGCTTCCAGTTCTTCTTCGTCATAGTTTGATGTCGGCGCGTAAACGACGAAGATCCTCAAAGCCGGTTTCGATCTACATCTTTTTAATTGTAAACGTCCGATTCGGGTTGTTAGTTGTTCGAATGAATCGATGTTCATGGACAAACTCGTGTTGACGAGAACGCCGACGCCGCCGACTCCTCTACTGTCGCATATTCCGAGAAACAATTCTTCTCCGGTCTCATAGATGGCGTTGAAAGGGTGGCATCTTCTCGTGTCGGCCAGGCCGATGACGTCGTACCCCTTCCTTCCTGCTTGCATGAGCAAGTCTTCTATTGAGGACTGGGTGCAAGTCTACGTGCATTGTAGGGACAGATCGCCACCTTAGTTTTTCGTGATCCACCCAGCTTCCATTGGCCCTGAGACTTTAGCAGCCTCTCCGTTCTCTTCCTATCCAACGTTGCCGAATTGAGGGCTTTTTCAGGGTCGGAGGAATCAGGCTGGTTTCTTTTACTATTCTTAGCTTTTTGATACCCATGTATACCTTGCCGGACTTTGAACGTGGGAGCTTGGTATACTCACGGGTAGCCTGCCAGGCTCTCCCAGAGTGGATGTGGAGCTTATTTGTTGGAGGCGACTCCTAACCGCCTCCCATATACTTCCCTGTCACTTGATTGTTGGCTTTTGGCCGAATTAACTAGTAGAATACAATCCTCATAAACTAGAACGCACCAACACACGCGTGAATAAATACGCCTAGTAAATACAGAAAGAATGTGCCAAATCAGCGTAGCAGAAACGGGTGTCCATCGCCTGGATCCACCTGCGCCTCAAGGAAGCAAAGGTCGCTTTTCGTCCGCGATTAAACCCCTATCCGCCAGCTGGGGACGCGCCACGTAGCCTCGCGACTAACCGGCTACCGGGTTCCCTCATGTGAGGGAAATCCGTGGGACAAATGCTCTAGTAATTGCAAATCTGACGTGGAGTTCACAATAACATGTAGATAAGGCAAGCTTATAGTTTTCCTTATTTTACTCTTTTAAAATGGACCACACTATGGCTCCCTTTGAGAAGAATAAAGATACACATATAGCTGGCATGTGTCCCACCCGCTCAGCCACACCTTAGTCTCTTGCACAAGATGCTTCTATCATTTCTTCAGTTCATGTTTTCCGGCAGCACACAATGCTCAATTGTCACCATTTTTTGTCACATAGAGTTTCAGAGTTTTACGTGACCTTTATTATTCAATTAAAATGACAAGATAAAAGATAAACAAAAAACTGTGACGTCAGGTGGTTTCACTTACTTCAACGTTTTGTAAAGGAGGTGCGTGAATATTGACCGGATCCGATTTGAAGAACTGCTCTGCATTTTCCCATGGGGCTGGCTTAGTGTTCTTCAGCTATAAAACTCCTCTTCGGATCAATTCAGGTCACTTCTTTAATACTTCACCGAGACCATGACAGAATACGGTATTACTAATGAGAATTGAATTGCAATGAGTGTTTGATGATGTTGGTAATCAACCGACATTCGTCGCGTTCGGGGTTTTGAATCAAGAATCACCGCGCTAGCGGATTACCTTTATGGGAGCACTTTCTTTGTCTTTTATTGAAGCTCTGTAATTTTCTTGAAAAAAGTCGATTGCTAAGTTAAAGAGATAGGATAGAGGTAGGAGATAAGAAGCTAAGAGATAAAAGAGCGTCGCCTGGTATGGCTCATTCGAGATGCGAGATGAAGACATCGAGAAGAGTAACAATTGTGGACCACCGACAAGGATCGTCGGCTATGATGAAGGCGAAAACGTCGAAACGTTATACGAATAAACATCTCTGCGAACTTCGTGTAAGCTCAACAGCATAAACACGTGCTAATTGCTAAGTGTTGCACACGAGTGCTACCTTTTTTTACACCAGAGACCTAACGAAATAGGCATTGTGGATAAATTACAAACGACCAAACAAAAGTTCAAATTTTAATCGAAACATCTGTAATCTGCGAACGTAGAATCCAGCAGACGGAAAATTTAAGATGAAACTGAACTGGGAAACGAGCATGATCAATGTTCCAATGGTTTCGTTTTAATTTAAACTAAAGTTTTAATTCAGTGGGTGGAGAAGTGTAAGAAGTAACGGCGTCGAAAACCTTTGTAATTCTTGGGTGTGTTAATAAAATAACTTACCACAATTTCAACTTGTTCTTTCGTTTCCCAGTCATAAGGATCAGAGGGCTTTGTTCCGAGTCTTTTCATTAAAGCTACTAATCCATCATAAAACATACTGGAAAATGGAAACATCGATTTTTAAGGTGAAATTTGCCTGGTGTGAGGTACTTAGCACTTATAAGGAACCTGTAATTTGGACGCTGGTAACAGTCGAGAGTTCTTAAATATGGAACTATGTCGCGCAGTTCAGCTAAAAGGAAAGATGAGCGACGAAATTTGGAAGTAAGAGAAGCATAAGAAATAAAAACGAACGTGGAAAATTCTGAACCAGATGTTTATCGGAGATATTCATTTTCATTGTTTCCACCTGAAATTGATATGTGTTTCATCGGGATGGATGAGAAAGTGATGGGCACGATGAAGCAGCGCCACCTTGGCTTTGTCGCGGGCCGTTTGCCACGGTAGACCGCAGTGCAGCTCGATCAGCACGTAGTACAGAGACCACAGGTCGTCCCTACGACCCTACAATTAACATTATCCTTATTTAAAAAATGCCTTGTTTCATTGCAGAATGATTTTTTCTGGGAAACTACACCTGTTCCTTTTTCTCGTGAACGTTTGGTGAGCAGTAACGAAGTGTTCCTCTGAATTCTGCAGAGCCTCTGGCTCTTCTTGCAACCCATTTGCCGTTTTTCTAAAAATTCAGTGCTGTAGAAATAAATAAATAAAAACTCTCGAGGCCCTCTGGATTAATTCCAGAAATCCGAAAATGAACCGCAGGGAAGAATGCCTCATTATCACGCGTCATATAGGGCAGTATATAAAACTGCTTTTCTGATGTGAGGGGCACATTATACTTCCACGTGATTTCTGTGCGGTTGGTCTCTACGTGACATACTTAGTGGAAACCTCATAGAAAGCGGTGAGTGTGCAAAGCTGTGTTCAAAGTGATTGAAATCTTGGTTTGGGGTTTCTTTGTTTGGTTATGGAGGCGTCTGGCCGAGTGGATTGCTATCAACTTGACCTTTCCAGGCTCTGAGGAAGGCGAAATCCGCCGAAACGTCAGCTTAATCGTGAACAAAGAATAGTAACACCTCGCGTTTGCTCAACAAAAATACGAAATAAATAAATGAGTGGGTCGAGGAGAAACAAACAAGTTGTTAAGGTTTTTTAATACCACGAAACAAAACATTACGGCTTGTACAGAAAAAAATCAGGTTTGAAACTGACTGCCACAAGCCACAAGTAGAAATGCCATAAGTAGCAGGATTCACCGATATGTGCGAGTTTTAGGTATATCGAGTAAACCTGAAGCTTACAAAGGTGGCATAGGATCTGGCGAGTCCGAAATCGAGAATGTGAACAATTCGAGCCCTCTCGAAGTCTTGGTGATATCCCATCACGAAATTATTCGGCTTTATATCACGATGAACATAGCCATAATCATGTACTAATTTAACGCTGAAAATATGATTGTTTGTAATTTTATTAGAAGAAGAAAATGTGTGTTAATAAGGAAACTGCAACAATGCCCAAGATGGTTATCGATTAGTGAAGATCATGCTTAATAGAAGCGAGCATGTAAGGATACCTTACCTGTATAAGCACTGCACACCAATCCGACTCCACGTGTTAGGAGACATCAATTCTTTCGGGCAATTGAGCTACGAATTATATATTATGAGCGTTAAATAAGGTGAAAACAACATTAATTTTAAGTGTTCTGAACGTGTATGCCTTGAAATGTACTATGTCCTTATTCTGCAACACAATGTTGACGCGAAGTCGACTACCACCATACCTTAAGAGACTTCAAGTTTTCTCCGAGTAATGTCATCACCATATAACAGTACTTTCTATGCTTGGCAGCATGAAAGACTTTTGGTATGTGTGGTTTCTCGCCATTTTCATTTATTGCTCGAAGAATAGCTATCTGAATGCCGAAAGCCCAAAATAGTCTCAAACTATGATGAACGATGCATATTCACACAATTATAGCAAATTTAACCAAAAGCATGAACCCATCTCGGTGTGATATCAGAAACGCGGCCTCAACTGTTAAGCCACAGGAATTCAAGCATATTAAGGTATATAAGGCAACAGAAATTACTCGGCTGTCTCTAAGAGCTGAGTTATAGGTGGGTAGACGTAGTTCATAGTACTGATTACCCGCATAGAGTTACATCCTTACAAAGCTGTAGATGCTTTCCACATACACTTCAGCTTCAGCCTTTCAACCCTGCTGGTTCTGATATGTCTTGAAAACTCTGGCTCTTTAACTTCAAACCTGTCATTCTTCGAAAATATTCGCACCAAGCAAGCTAATTTTTCATAGTGTGCAGAATCTTTAATAATAATAACCGTGGTTAATAAAAATATTATGTAGTAGTAATAGTATTTCCTACCCTTTTCCATGTAAGGGAATGATGCGAAATATAACCACAACTATAGTGCTGCCGAGATATTTGCAAAACACCGGACCGCAGTTGTTTGCAGTGTAATTGTTGTAATAATAATAATGACAATACTAATAATAATAATAACAATAATAATAATAATAATAATGATAATAATAATAATGATAATAATAATAATAACAAAAATCATAATAACAATAATAATAATAGTGATAATTAACAATAACATTAACAGCAATAATTAAAATTATTAGCAATAATTTATAATAATTTATAACAATAATAATAATAATAATAATAATAATAATAATAATAATAATAATAATAATAATAATAATAATAATAATAGTAATAATAGTAATAATAGTAATAATGGTAATGATAACAATAATAATAATAATAATAATAATAATAATAATAATAGGAAAAAGAAGAATAATAATTCCTCCCAACGGTTTACCGCCTCATCGTGACTGGGATATGTTCCTGGGTATCGAACTCCGATATACAGCGGTGGGATTCCTCTGGCCAAGTCTCCTAAGCTGAGAAGACTTTTCCATCAGGAAGTCTAGCTAAGTCAAGATCGACCACCGTCCTGGTATTAAACTAGTGACGTGGTGCCAAATCTTCCTCTAATCCACAAGGGCTGCGACTGCCTGTGGTGGTGACGACCTAGGGCAGACTTTCGCTAGGATGACCCCTGGATTCCAGAGAACCACAATGGCTAAACCAGCAAGTCTCCAAAATAATGGAGATTATGGTCAGACTCCACAACTAGTGAGGACGGCCCGTCCAAATATCGAAGTAATAGCAATAATTAGTTAGTAATTAATAATTAGTAACAACAATGATAATTTTATCATTGTTGTTACTAATTATTAATTAGTAATACTTACTTGAACTTGATTCTTGAACGGCCCGTCTTCACTAGTTGTGCAGTGCCCCAGCATAATCACCATTTTCCGGAGATTTGCTGATTAAGTCATTGTGGTTCCCTGGAATCCCGAGATCGGCCTGCCCAAAGTCTGCCCCAGGTCGTCACCACGGCACGCAGTCGCTGCCCTTGTGGATCAGAGAGAGATTTATCACCACGCGACTTTGATACCAAGACGGTGTTGGGTCCTGGTATTGGTTTATTCTTAGCTAGGTCTCTTGATGGAAACGCCAGACTCCTTCCCAGCTTGGGAGACCCTGCCGGGGAGACGAATCCCCCCGCTGTACATTGCAGTCTGACACCCAGGAACACCTCCCAGCCACGATGAGGCGGTAAACCGTTGGGAGGATTAGTAGTAACAATAGCAATAATTAGTAACAATGATAATTTATAATGATAACAATGATAATCACAATAATAATAACGATAATATAGCGAGCTTAAAAAGGTAAAACCATTAATTGTGGTCACTATTATGGTGTAACCGACTGCAATGTGACGCCTATGCCTTGAGACTGGCGCATCTCTCACCGTACTTTTCTTTCCTTATTTTAGTACACTTCTTGAATCACGATATGAAGTCCTAAAGGCAAATTGCCTACAGTAGAAGGCAAAGAACAATTTATCCGGAAGGCATCATCTTCTCTGCAGAGCTTCTTCAAATCCACATAAATGTTACCACTTGATATTCGCATTAACCAAACATAGGTGCATGGGCGTAAAATTTTGTCTAGAGAAGAGATAACCTTTTTTTCGTTACAATACTTGCACTCCTTGACGTTAAACCTCGAAGACGCAGGCTCGAGATCAACACTCTCCAAAATAAAAAGTTGATATGAAGAAATTCTTTTTCTGTTTCAGTGACAACGTATATCGCGTTGTATCGGACCATTTCCAACACTTCAGCGACGTCGTACTTGGTATCTAGTTTTTCCATGACATGTTCTGCCAGTGTCAGGATAAATGCTTTAAAAGTACTGAATGTCGTTTCCCTCCTTCGCGATTTTAGCGCTCTTTATTGCATTCCGCGAGAGCAACAAACAATCGCATTCTTTCCAATAATTCCGTAATGAACGCTCTTTTAGCGCTATAATAAGGAAGTCCTATTTCATAATCACCAAGAAAACACTATCACTAAAAATGCTATTGGTCGACAAAAAAACGAGAGCAGTGACAACGACCTCGAGTTTTATAGCTGACCCTCCTTCAACACTGTTAGGCTCCGCTTTCAGTGCTGCCACCTCGCCCGGTCGTTTAATGCTTTCTACCTGAACAGGAACCTTTAAACGGACGATATTCAATTCTTTCTCATAATGCTATTTTAGTGTTATAAGAGTGGAAGCAATTGAATCGAAAGCCGTAAAATTACTTAGCACAAACATCAGATGGAAACAGGTCCCTGTGCTTCTAAACCTGCGGCGCTTACCACTTTGGCCAAATTCCGTATTCAACTTTCGGTATTGACTTCTGAGTTCCTTTTTACAAAATGGGCGATAAAGCGAACCGCCTTCAAAGTGGTTTTCCACCGTCGTTTATATGCTTTTTGAGAGTTTTTCGAAAAAAATACCATTCTAAAGCAGCAATTTTTGATGGGATAGGTTTAAATGCATCCCGATCACAACTTTGAAAGCAACAGCTTTCCTATAAAGCGGAGAATGTAGTAACTATTCCTTAAACATGTATTCTTTCTTGATAAGCTTGAACGAGGTTGATAAATATATTTATTTTCGGCTAACGTTTCGACGTCTTCGTCTTCCTCAGAGCGATGATCCGAGTCGATGGTCCATGATTGTTGTTCGTCTCGACGTTGCAGCTTCGCCTTCCTGTCGAGCCAGATCTTCCTCAGCGAGCCATCTTCTCGAATGAGGCATCCTCACTCAGTGATGCCCTTTTATACACGATGCTGATGGTGGATATAATGATAATATCCGGTGGTAACAACTTGTGTTTCTTCCGGGCATACATCATTGCGCACATCGTGCAGAAGTCGGTGTTTTTATCAGCTAGCACAAAGCGTAGTAATAATATTTCGAAACCGACTTTCTCTAAACCTCGGTGTGACTAATCAATATGTATTCTTTCTTTATAAGCTCATTCGAGAAGATGGATCACTGAGGAAGACCTGGCTCGACACGAAGGCGAAGCTGCAACGTCGAGACGAACAACAATCATGGACCATCGACTCGGATCATCGGCTCTGAGGAAGACGAAGACGTCAAAACGTTAGCCGAAAATAAATATATTTATCAACCTCGTGCAAGCTTATCAAGAAAGAATAGATATTGATTAGTCACACCGAGGTTTAGAGAAAATAGGTTTCGAAATATTCCTTAAATAGTTCCTATTCTCTACAATATCACATGTGTCCTACATTAACTATTTACTTATAACTACCTCAAATCTATCCATTCATAATGTATAAGTTTTAATACCGCTTCGACATGTAGTTTCGATAGAAGCCTCTGGCATACCGTCTCATCTGATGTACTTCTACGCAGGTACCGTGTCATGACCTGGGTCAGCACTATCTCTGAGTCCCTCTGTGAAGCTCCACGTTATTCCATCTCATTTACATGACCTTTTGATAAGTCTTTGCGTAGCCTTTCGGATAACCTTTATCCGCGAGCTATTCAAAGCCCCACCCACTACAGAAGTAATACAGGCAGCCCATGAGCATTCGTCTTCAAGTGTTCGCAGCGTTCGTTCGGTCTTCATCCAGTCCCTCGGTTCTTCAGCGCTCCAGCTCTAGTGTCCGCCTAGTTTTCTTCAGTTTCATCACTTGTTCTCATCTCATTCTCGCTCGTATATATCCAGTTAACCACTTTTCGTCACATGTTACATATTATTGTTGTACTGTTGTTGTTGCTATAAACTGTTATAAACCAAACTCGAGGTTGTCCACGACAGTTACGAAAAAAGTCCCGCGTGACGAATTCATGGAAAGTTGAGCATTCCACGTACAGTTGGCGGACAAAAGACAAATCCGACCAATTCCCTAATCCACTGGCCAACTAACACAGAGAACAACAGTAGTCCACTGACTATAGCTAGGAAAATCATCTATTTTGCTGTCATCACTCCTCTTAAACAGAGAGCTGATCACTTTCTGAATCAACCGCTGGCACTTTCTCTCAGTGATACTCGAACTATCAGTTTCACTATAGCATTTTGCTCAACATCGCACGGTTATAAGCAGTGGAAATTGGCGATGCTTCTAGTTGGCATATCGAGTGCAAGCAGTAAGTACCAGTGCGACAAGTTGCCGCTGCCATACTCTCATAGAGATAGATGTTCGCTTCAACTTTATCGAAAGGATAGAATGTGGAAGTTAAGGGTAGGTAGATGCTCCTTGTTTAGATATTAATTTATTAGTCCTGTTCCTCAGATAACCTACATGGCAACAGATGTATAATACTCAGCATCTCGAAAGATCTACTGATACATTAGCCTTGAGGAAATTCCGTCATAAGGAAAAGCAGTGACACACCTTATAAACATGGCCAAAACCACCTTCATCCAGCTTCTTGGCGATAACCCACTCGCCAAAACTGAAAACTCTACGACTATTCGCTTATAAATAAGCAAGAAAGGTCAGAACAGAAATAAAAGAACGTGAGTACGAAAGGTTTCATGTCTGCCTTCAAGTAGCACAGAAAGGGCGCGTGTGGCGCAGTGGTCAGAAGCGCACTGCATCACACACGTGGAATCGATCCCTGCGCCCATTGCTGACCAAGCCTTCCATCCCTGCTGGGTCGAAAAATTGGTACCATACTTGTCCGGGAGGATAGCAGCACTGGCTCGATACAACCGTAGGCCACTAGGGGTCATTGTAAAGGCCAAATATACATTCAACCACCTCCGAACGATGCTTAATGGGTCGAATGCATGGAGTATCTCTCAGGGATTGATCAACGTCGAGAGCTTTATCCTTCATGCTTTAATAACATAGAAAACATGAAGAGTTAGGTAGACTTAAAGAAGACGTTCGTTGAATAAAAATAAGTGAATGTGGTTAGTTCTCCAAAAAAGTTCACGAGAAGGGAAACAATTAGAGGAAGATGGGATGACAATATAGTAAAAATCACCGGAAGCTAGTTGTTCAAAAAACAGTAAATATGCCTCCTACACATGAAATGCTTACCGTTTTCCTTCTACAAATTTAACAACGGCATTCTCTTCGTCCCCCATGGTGAAACCGATTCTAGAGAAATGAGAAGCATACTCGCATTAGAGGATTTTAAATGCTTGATAGCTGTAGATACAGTGCTATCACTAACATTTTCCCTATCACGATTTTTTCGATGGCTGTCAATAATGTTAACCTTTTGCCTGGCGCTACTTTAATACTTCACGGCAAGGTATGACGTGAAATACAACCACAGCGATGCTGAGATATTCACAAAACATGGACCCCAGGCCAGATGGAACCACGATTTCCTTTCCTGGAGCTCTCGCATTACACACTACTCTACTGGCGGGTCCTTGGTCTGCGTTTCTTCCAGCTAGTTTTCTATCCAACGTTGCATCAGCAATCACCCGTCACCGGGATTGAGCTAGCGAGCACATAAGGGTATTGAACCCAGTTAAGCTGAGGCTGTAGTCCAAATCACAATGTTAATCTTTTATTTGCTGCCTACTATAAATTTTCGCGGCAGGGTATTATGTACCTTACATACCTTAACAAACAATACGCACGCCATATATGCGGAACTGCCTGCCGTTAACATAACATAGGCCATCACAGCCTGACCTTTGCCTGACCTCACCTCGATAACCTGACCTCTAAGACGTGAAAGACTACAATGGCTACTATTCCATACGTTGAAATCGTCCGACGATCCCGTTCCTTTACCTGTATATTTATTACTCGATAGATGTTCTCTCGATGTTGAGCAGTAACTCTTCAATTGCACCCATCATTTTCATGGAAAGCTTTATATTACAGAGTTACTAACTTGCTAGGAAAGAAAGACTAGTGTTACTTGCTCATAATTCCATTTGCATTTTATATCGTTATGTATGACACAGTGGAATTTTAAACTGTGAAATAATCGGTGGATGACTTACGAGCGGCCTAAACACAAGTTTTATCCCCATGACCGACTTTCTGTTAACCTCGGCATTAATTGATAATTCAATGTTTTTCATCAATAAGCAGACACGAGGTTGTTAATATAGAATTTATTAGAACACAATTGCTGTTTTATCGACAGCATAATTTTCACAAATTGAAAAAAACAAAATGCACTAATTTTTCACAAAAACAACTTTCCAGGATGATTATTCTTATCATATTCTCTCTACTGCCTGTTGGCCTTGCGTCCATTGTCGACAAGTTCGAGAACAATGGAATTCTATACAAGGAGCTGGGAAGGGCTAAGTTAGATAATTTTGGACGAGTGTGACGGAAGGCAATTTCTGACCAAGAATTTCGTTGAACCGAGATTTGTAGACTGATAGTTGCTATGTTTGCGAAATGTCTCATTTGTGTGCTTTGATCATCTTATGTTTATAGTGTTTTTAGCAAAAACGTAACCACATGTAGTTCTCTGAGTCTAATGTGGTATAGGCTTACTCGTAGAACTTCGTAGTAGAAATGTTGAAATTTTTCCGTGTGGGCAAACTTAGTGAAGCGATGAAGCACCGCTGCGTACCGGAGTTGTGCACAAAACAGTCCCACCCACAATGACGCAACAAGGCTTTGACGGGAATCTAACAATTAATAGTAACACTATTAATGCAAGGACAAAAGGGATAAATCTCTCGTCGTTGATCAATCTCTGAGGGGTGCACCATGGGCATTCAACTTCATTAATTATCGTTGGAGGTGACTGAATGCATATCTGGCCTTTACAATGACTCGCAGTGGCCTACCAATGTGTCAGGCCAATGCTGCTATCCTCCCAGGCAAGTCTCGTACCAATTTGCCGACCCCGGAGTGACGGAGGGCTTGGTGGGCCATGGGCGCGGAGATGGACTCCATGCGTGTATCGTAGAGGCGCCTCCAACCACTGCGCCACACGCTCCATTTTAAGGCTAACATTATTAATAAGGATGATTATAATAATAAGAGTAATAATAATTCTAATGTAAACAATAGCGTCCGTGTGGCGCTGTGGTCGGAAGAGCTCTGCAACACAAACGTGGAATCGATCACCGCACCCGTGGCCCGCCAAGCCTTCCATCCATCCGGGGCCGGAAAATTGGTACCAGACTTGTCTGGGAGAATAGCAGCACTTTCTCGATACATCGGTAGGTCACCGCGAGTAATTGTAAAAACCAGATATGCACTCAATCACCTTCAAACGATGCTTAATGAAGTCGAATGCATGGCGCATCCATCCGGGATTGATCAACACATAGAGCTTTATCCTTTGATCTTTTAATAAGTATAATATTAATGACAATGATAATAATGATAATAATAAGACCCAATCATAGTGATGACAGCAATAATGGTAATGTCAACACTGTATTGGTTCAGATTGATGTTCGACAGTAAGATCTGTTGGCCACAAAGATTTGATATGAACCGTTACATAAATAACACGGCTGCTAATGAAAACTCTGACGTCTACGCTCAGACGATTTGGAAGACAACTTTCTACAATACCTTTGCTGAGATTTGCCGCAACTTCAACTTATCTAATGGTTGGTACATACCTGACATTTTCAGTTCTCGAGGAAAGAAACGACCATTAACCACTCAATTTTTCCAGGTTTCCCAGTCTCCGATGCTGCACTTAGTAATGAGTGAGTTTGCTCGTTTCTTTTTTGCTCAAGTATCTGTGTGATAAAAAGTGGGTAATCGAAAACGAGGAGTGGAGAGCGCTTTAGTAGCGATGTCGATCATCAGAAATATGGTGCTGGTTCGATTCCGCTCCCGGCTCACCAAGCCTCTTATTAGCCCTACGGGGTCGAGAAATTGGTACCCAACTTGTCTGGGATCAACTCATCCCTTCAAATCAATGTAGGAACTTAACTTTCCAGCACAACTATTCCCGGAATCCAAGAAGAATCTATTCAACCAGCATCGGAAACCCCAGAAGTCCGACAGTAACTAACGAATTACCGAATTATTAACGACTTAACGACTGAGTCACTAGATACCTCCCTAAGAGATTTTACTGAACTTGATACTAGAACACAGAAAATGTGCACAACGAAAATATGACATTCAAGAAGTCATTATGAAGCTCTTTTACGTTTCAAAGGCACTATAGGTTATCTCAACCTGTTAAGGCGCTATTTACTACATGTAGGCGCGTGTATCGCAGAGCTTAGACGTGCTGTGTAGTACACACTGGGTCGATCGCTAGTTCGACTCAGTGCTCTGGGCTTAGGCCTCAACAAGCTTTCCATCCCTCCGAGGAAAGGACGCCACACTTATCTGGGAGGATAAAAATTCAGATACATCAATAAACGACCGCATAACATTACACACGTCAAATGTGCGCTCAATCTCTGCAATGCTTAATGAAGTAGAATGCCTTTTCCTCATGGGCTTGAACAGTACTATTCTTTTTCTGCGCTTTATTTACAACATTTGGTTTATATCAAAAGTACATGCGGCCTTTGTTTTTAAAAGTTTTAACTTTTAGTAAGAATCTGTTGATATAAGCGTTCCTTTCTTGTGTTCCTCGAACTTCATGCAGCATGAGCGCGTAGAATGCGCTTCAGCACAGTATTATATCAATTTTCAGAGTCAGAGACTACCTCCTACGTATTGGATTGAATAGGAAATTGCAGAAGTTCCATCACGATCTCTGGGCATTATTTCTCTACAACAGAATCCCACTGGCATTCTTCGATCTCGTCGATAAGGTATCGATGTCCACATTAATACGCCTTCTCAGATGATCTCGTTTTATAATACTAATAATGAGTGTATAACCATCGAAATATGTAAATCATATTTAAAGTGTTTCGTTCCTCAGAAATGGCTTGCTGATGGTGAAGACCTATCCGAGTTCTCGGAGAAAGTTGCTGCGTTTCCGGTGAGATGTGATCTTGAGTGGAGAGCAGTGGACCTGCTGCTCTGCCCCAATTTTGACGGATTCGCACAGGACGGAACTCTCTATGCGGTTAGTAGCATATCGCTAGCAAACCGAACAAACACAACAATTTGCGAACTAAAACGAATTCTTCTGATTTGTAAACCACCTGTGTGTGCAATGGGAAGTGTTCATTACATCGGATCCGTTGTCTCTTTAGGACTTTATGGGCCTCTTAGAATATGGAAAGTGAGCATATTTAAATCAAATGTAGTAAAATATCCATATAACTTACAATCAACATTAGCACCTAATACGATTGGTTCAACGAACTGGGACCGCTTAAGAAATAAGCTAATAAAAGAACTACTGCGTAATTTATCGAATCTTGAGATCGCCCATGCTGGTCAGTTTATGGCAGAAGGTCAGATTTACGTTCATCAAGAAGTACCCGAACATGTAGTGATGGATGGAAATGGAAGCCTGGTACCTATCGACATCAACGACTGCAAAGTTATGGTAAATTGAATTCAAAGTTTAATTGGAAACCGTAGGTGGCACGATTGCAGCCTAAGTTCGTGCCTTGTAAATATGATCAGAATGATAAACAGACTATAACTGTATAGTTTGATAAATTGATTTTCCAGGACACATCGATACACGTGTGTATGAGCAGAGCAGTGAGTAGTTGCGACGCCACGACAATGTCCGAATGCGACATCGTCGCCCAACGCACAACCGATGGGTTCATGGCGATCAGGAACTTCGGCATGGGCAAAATCGTCGCCACCAATCTGCCGGTACGTCAAATCTCGTGATTTTTGAAATTAAAAAAAACAGCAAGTGATAGAAATGTTCCGTACTAAGCTCTGCGATTCCCTCGACCATCAAAACAGGCCACAATTTTTCCGAACATATGAGTTATCTAAGTTACTAATTAAAATGAGCATTTTAAAGTAACTACATCATGAAACAAAACGATAACCACTGTTTACCTAGATCAGTTCACTAGTACTGAGACATCTAAAACATTTGCCACGAAACTGGTTCTTCGGCCATTTTCGATAATCTTCCGATGACTTGAGGCACTAGATGAGTTGAGAACTTGAAACATTTGTATAGGACGCTCTGATCAACGTCCGTAAACGTATATTTCTCATAGAACAATCCTGAACTTCCAAATTTGCTTCGAATTTAAAACGCGGAAATATAAACACTTGACACTATCGCGACGAGGTGACCTCTATAGGGGTTATTCGTGGAACGGTGTGGCCACCATGACCTCTGTACAGGTCGTTTTATGGCTAATAGTTTATTTTGGCGCAAAGGACCCTTTTCATACACTTCTTGTCATCAATCGATAGTTCGCACTGATCAGATGATGGGTGTCAACCTGGAAAAGCTCTATTGTGGTCTTCAACATATGCAAAACGCTTTTCTCGAGCGAAATCGCTGACTCGTAATTTGACTGGCATCTGATCGTGAATCATAGTTCCGGATGAAATGGAACGGTAGAAAAAATTATGCTCAACATAAACTGGAGAACTCTCCAAATGGACGTTACAATATGTTTGTATGGCGGACTGTAGTAAAGCACTATATAGTAAGTAGTATCATACATACTATTGATATCCACAGAGCGAAGTAGGCTCTGCAACAGGTGCGTGTGGCGCAGTGGTCGGAGGCTCCCTGCGGCCATAGCCTACCAAGCCTTCCATCCCTGCGAGGTCGGCAAATTGGTACCAGACTTGTCTGGGAGAATAGAAGCACCACCCCGATACATCGATAGGCCGCCGCGAATCATTGTAATACCAGATATGTACTCAGTCACCTCCAACAATACTCAATGAAATCGAGTGCATGGCGTATCCCTCGAGGATTGATCAACCCCGATGGCTTTATCCTTTTATCCTTTTTTTCCCCTGCAATGCTGTCATGTTCTCAACCCTTCAGGTTTCCCTGGTTCTAGAAATAACATCGTCCATTGCCGAAGCCACCAGCAGGTCCATGAAAGTCATGAAAGTAGGCGATGTCCCGTTCGCCGCTTACACATTTAGGGGCCGGCTCGAATGTGTTGAAATTTCCAACGAAACCGTGGCGTGCTCTCGAACACAGACGATGCGCAGAGCGGTCCACTACCTGGACCGCGTGCTCATCTGGGCTCATTTTTAAAATGCGATGCTCCACATTAAAAAGCGAAAAAAAAGAATGAATCGTGAGTTCCAGTAGACCAGGGTTTCACTGTGGTGTAAAAAGAACGCTTGGAATCCACTGGAAAATATCTTAACGTTTTAATGATTTTTAATTCTGTCCAATGAAGGGAGCTGAGATATGTACGCTTAAAGTTGAAAAGTATAAACATTAGAGTAAATGTATATAGTCATGAACGGATGTCAACCACTGGATCCAAGGAAACAGCTTCTCGACAATTCTTCCGCTTCTTGGCGTTTCTGGTCAACGACGCAGCAAAATTTGACTTGGTTCTTGGTAAAGATCGACACTAAATAATAGCACGCTGAAACCGTTTGTTCAGCACGAATTGAAATGAAAAGAAACACAGCTGCAGTTATATAATGACTTGGTCAATCGTTTTTAATTCACATATCCGTTCGAAAATCGAAAAAACAGTTCGAAAAGGTTTTTTTTTTTATAAAACCACAGAAAATATTTATGCTGCAAAGAAACCCCGAAATGAAAGTGAGCCATATACTACGCACACTGGCAGGATCCCGTCAGCACATCTCCAGTAGTGCGTATACAGTTCAGTGCTCCTATATGTCCGAAAATAAGTTCCTCTTCTACCTTACCATATTTTAATCCACAGCGGACATTCGACTACTGTTGAAATAGAAGCCATCGGAATTCTGAGACCTTTGGCAATAAGAGCGAAGCATCTTTTTCGAAAATTTGAAACCTAAGAAAATTTAGGCGAAGTGTCCTCAATAATTTTGAGAAGTAAGTCATTCCTAAAACGCTTGAGTTATGGAGAACATATCAATAGTTGTCGAAGAAACCGCTCTGTCCCGAACGTTTCACTTCTTTTTAAACAGAAAGTTACTATTCCATCCAGGAAATTAATCTCACCGGTACTACCGTTAATGTCCCCACTCCTACATTCATCCATCACACACTGTATCGACTCGAAGTAGATGGTGACGAACGAAGATACATCCCTTACTCAAAAGTTACTCCAGTTAAAATCAAGGTAAGCCAGCCGTCTTATAGACTTTTGAGTCAAAAAAGAAAGAATGCTTGAATAGGCCTCATTCCCCAACCTGTCGTACAGTGCGACAAAGGCTGTCCTGTCAACCAAAGAAACTGTTCGTTTGTACAACATCACTCGCAAAGGAATTCCAATGCTCAGCAACCAGGCAAGTACCCTTCTTTGAAATAAAACCTAGTTGGAAACATGTACAAGCACCATGAAAGGGTTTAAAGCCCTGCTATAAAGTCCAGAACAGGAATTGTGGCTATCTACATTTACGTAATTTACCAAAACTTTCCTTCCGTGAGCTAATTTTCGACGATCTTCACCCTATCTTAAGAAACACTGGGAATTTTTAGCAAAATGGAAATTAACAAAAAATTAACTCAGCGATCTGTACATTTTCCCAGTTTCTAGATAGCCTTTAAGCTCTATTACGTTCATTTTTCCTTTCAGTCAGGAAAGGGATCCGTGTGGGAGAACGTCAAAGACTTTTTTCTTCATCTCATCTAACCTAAACCATGTCACTGTTTTACAGCATGAAAGAATGTATAAACCGATAAAATACTGGTTTATGAAATGTAACTGTTGCAAAACATATGAAAAACTAGAAGTGCGTTAAATATCACAATACTCAACAACAAGAAATGGGACAAACAAAAAAACTATCCTATATCAAACGACTGCTACCGTGCCATGTATATGTGCACATTACTTGTCGTCTACCATATCTGACATCACGAAGACGATTAGGAGGTAGGTGATTTACTTTGCTTGAAAAACAAGATGGTAGTTGGATAGAGCGGATAGATCTCAATAGGAGACTAAAGGTGTAGCATAAAGATAACCGGCACATTATGGATACAAAAGATTAAAATCGCTGAATGTATAGATGAACGCAAGAAGCAACCATAAAAATCTCTTCAAACTCTCAAATACAACTTGTAGAATTGCTTTTTCCACTACTTTTAGCTTCCTGGAAAGCTAACCCTTTCGGTTCCAACTCAAATTTAGATCTCCGTGACTTTATCCTTGTTGATATTGTTGAGAAACAACGTTTGAAATACAGTGTCTGCGAAATCAGGATAATAACGGCAAGCCCGCTCACAATCGGGCATGAAGTTGAATTCCAAAAGTGTTGCAAGGATCTCTCTTTCTTCTGTAATATTAATCAAATGAACTGCCCCTTCACTGACAGAATAATGGACTCACTCACACTAAGTGAGACTACCCAACATATTACATGAAAAATAATGATTATGGCGAGTAGTGCATATTACGAATACAATGTGAAGATCCAAAAGCATTTTATTAAATGATAAACGAACGAGAGTTTGAGTAATCAAACGGAACCAGCCTCACCTGAATCACTCCACTGAAGCATGATATCAGCCCCATACATTGCCCTTGACTGAACATTTTTAGCGATACCGCGAGGTGGATCAAAGCTGAAGTACGTTATTTTCCTACTTTCTCATCGATTAGAAACTCTAAAACAAAACATTTCTCACAGACACGCAGCTTCTACAGCTTTCCTGAGGACAACCATTATTTTACTTTGAATATCACTCCATTTGATCCAAACGTATGTATCTTCAAATCGCTTCACGAAGTCATCACAATTCATCTTAAAATATGTGGAAGACCAACACCATCGAAACTTCGTTTACAAGGAAGAACAAGAAGAGCAAAAATAGCATAAAAAAAAGCAACAACCCTTAAAACTTTTTCGTCATCCGTATAGTTAAAAACAGTGAAATGGGTATCCACGTCGTCTAGGCGATGCATAGAAAATTCACTGAACATCGATTATGTACAACATGAGAGAACTAAAAAACTTCCATGGGACTCAACGTACTTAATGGCAAAACGAATCCAGAAGTTATTATAGACGAAAGCACGTAGTGGTCGGACGTCAGTTACAAACATGATGAAACGCAGATCGAATTTCACCATACAGTTATTGTCAACACGATTGAACAGCACGGGACGCTCGATGTACTTACATGCGATCTAAAACAAAGCCCATACAGTTTACGCCAAATATATATATATATATACATATATTATACAGCCACAATGTTGCTGAGATATTTGCAAAACTCCGGACCGCAGGTGCCTGTGGTGGGGAACGAACGCGCTATTGTCCTTTCCGGGGAGTAACGCGTTCACCACCACACCATGCGGGTCCTTCGTTTCGTCTGTTTCTCAGCTAGTTCTATCGATCAGCACCATCAGCAATTATCAGCCAACGGGATTGATCCAGGGAGCCCAAATCGACAACAACAAACCTAGTTAAGCTGAGGCTGAAGTTGAAATCGCAATTACCCAGCCGTTAAATATGATAGTAGGCAGTAAATAAAAAGGTTAAAAGTGCAATAGTTTATCTAATATCCTTCTCTTCTATCCTAGTCAATAACTACGTTCAGTAAAAGACACTGCTTTCCACGAAAGAATCTCTGTTGACATTGACATGACGGTAATCAAAATGTGCAAGCAAGCTGACCTTTGGCCCACTCTCCATTAGACGAATAATTTGGCCGAGATCGTTAGAAACATGAATATCCATATTGCGAGCCAAATTCCATGGTTTGATTATCCATGTATTATCGAGGCCACTGAAAAACCTGGTTTCTCTTCAAATTTTAAACTAATTGTATCTATCACCAATCGACTTTAACATGTCTACACTTATTATAAAAAGAAATGACCGTCGTCTCCGACCATCTATCTGAAAAAGGGGGTCTGATTTAAAAAGATTTGATATCAAGTTCCAAGAATTTTTTTAAGTTCCGAAAATAGAGGAAGTTCAAAATCACAATTAACGTGGGAATGACTGACCTGGCTTTTCTACGAAGATAATATGAAACAAACTGAGGTAGCTCCGTGTATAAGTTGAAGCACGTCTAAAAATACAGAAGCAGAGGAATAGAATCTCTCCAGATCTGTAAGCGTTCTCACCTGGTACCACGATTGCCCATCTTCGGAGTCCTGGTTCATGAGAATTGCCGATAGCAGATCTTTTACAGTGATACAACTCTCGTATGGAAACTGATTAATAAGCACACCAGGGTTTTCCTCACAAGCTTGACTGGAACATGCCAACATTTGAAAGGAACATTTCGTAAGACAATTTGCCTCCAAGGCTTCGTAGTATTCGTTAATATAAAAAATTTAATTTGTGCCTCACACAAATTCGCTGAAATGCCTCCTCAACCATATTACATCAGCATTTCGCCAATCGCTGACTTCAACATAGTCAACTTCCTTTAGATTCTCAATCAGTTGGAGTTCATCAGCAAATATTCGAAGTGGACCGGACAAGTTACGTCGTTCTAGTACTGTAGCTGCCACTTTCTGAGCTGATTCTGATGGCACGACATCGACTGTACGACCAGACTAAATGTGAAGACTACGAAACAAAACCCTAAATCGCCCGATATAAAGATTTCTACCAAATAGCATGTTCAATAAACACATAAATTGAAGAATGAAGAAAGTGTTTAAGCGCACTAGTTCATAATGAAACGTATTCACGAATTTATGTTCAATTCAAAAATAATTATTTTCTTGTTTTCACATGGCTCGTCTTCGCGTATGATGCGCGAATCATTCATACCCCTCACTTTTCACAATCGATTCGTTTCCTTGCATCTACCATCCACGAAGACCTTCCAACTTTTACGTGTGGCTTCTACCGCTGTTTGAGCATTTTCTTTTTACCTTGAATGTTGTGGAATGCTAGTTGCGTCCATTCTCCTTGGAGTCTCGAGATAGCCAAATTGGAGCTTTCCCAATTGGAATTCAGAAAGTGATTTTTTCCTAGACAAGACCAGTACCAATTTCCCGACCCCGGAGGGCTGACAAACTTCGTTGGGCCGCAGTGGAATCGAACTAGCACCATGCTCGTGGTGACCGACATCGTCACTGTGCTATCCGCCCCATTTATTCAAAAATAATACTCATACTATATCCTACATATTTCCTATAGTAGACCAGGAAGTATTTTGTTTCTTTTCGACAACCACCGTGAAGTAAGCAATCGAATCGACTCTTTAGCTTAAGCAAACTTCTTTCTCAAAGACAATGGTTCCCCGCAGCGCATCTCAGTCGGACAGGCAACAGTTGTACGATTGTAGTTACGAATCTAAGTAGGCACTACAGCCTTTTCCTTAGCTCTTCAGATAAGTTGAAATTGCACTTCGAGAAGTCACTTCACAATACTTCCATCTCCGATTGAACTGGGAGTTCCACAGTATTTACTATACATAATTCACGACCTCTTAATACCATATGGTATATCATATATAGACCTACTTATCGATGGGCTTGTTTTTCTCTCCCTCCTCTCGCTTCTCCACAACACAGTTGTTGTCCTTCACCGTGAATGTATTAACGAATTCATACGTCACTTTACGTAACCTCTACATCTATCGACTCTGCTTTGTGCTGACTTATGGCCTACATAGAGGTAATTGATCAAACATATTGTCACGTTTTATAGGAACTCAAAGTGGATTAACGAAACTGCTCTCTGTAACTGAAACTGAAAACATTAATGCGATTCTCCTTGCAGGTAACGAAGAAATCACCACGATTTCTAAATCCAAGTCATATTTTGGAAATAAGTAGGAGCGATAATCCATTCAGTTATGAAGGCGAACATTGTCCCTTGTCGAATACAATCCAATTTTCATCGCATGTCACAATCGATTGGGAATGGACCGTTTTTATTGCACAGAAGTAGCGAACATGAAACTTTACAACGATGATCTCTTTGCCATTCGCTCACTTTGTGTGAAACCGACTTAGCACTCTCATTAACATTTCCACTGTCCTCCAAATGACGAGTGATTTTTGAGCTGTTAACAATGAGTTGTTCTGCAACTTCTTGAATAATTCTTAGAGTGCAAACTTCAGTACTTGAATTCAGATGATCGCTATTAATCTTTAACAGACTTCCATAACATTCTTCATTATGGCGACTCGTATCACCAGTGTGTACCCTTACGAAGTGCCTGCGCATCCATGGCCAGTGATCTACTACGAACTTTGAAATCGGTATACACCATGCTAAAATCAATACAAACTAAGTTTTAGGAGAAAAATAAAGCGCGCCAAATTTGTTTAAAAAGTTAAATGTTAAGTGTAAAAAAATGTTAAACAAGAAATAGGGTTTAAGACAACTATGTAAACAAAAAGGTATTAATATATGTAGTTGTAAACTTCATGGTGACAAAATTCGATATTCTTTCAATAAGCTAAGATAAACAGTGGTTAGAGGCGCTCTGCGATACACATGGGTCCGATCCCGCACCCCGGACCATCCATTCCTTCGGGGTCGGTAATTTGGTACCAGACCTATTTGGGAGGATAGCAGCACTGACTCTACACATCGGTAGGCCAGAGCGAGACACTGCACAGCCCAGAGAGGCATTCAATCACCTCTAACGATCCTTAATGAAGTCGAATGCATGGCGCATCTCTCAGGGTTTGCAACGTCGACAGCTTTACCCTTAACCTAAGATGGTTAACATCTCAACTTCTAGTCTCTATCACTAAAATTCTTCCCAACTTAGTTTTATACAATGTGTAACCTTCAATTTATTGCCCATTTTTCATTCCAGGCTATTATATACGTGAAATATAATACAATGATGCTATTTGTAAAACACAGGCCCCACGCCACGAACCCGGGGTTACTATTTAGTTTCATAGAGTTTTAGCACAACACTTTAGTAGCCTAGACAGCGTGGGTGTCTGATAACTGCACATGATTTTTTGGAACAACAACACTTCACATGTCGAAAACTTGAACGGTTCACAAAGCTTCGCTGACGTCCCAAGTTTAACTAAAACTCTTACGAAACATTCTCATTTTATGTTTTAAACTTGTTCAAAATAATTTCCAAAATTTATGATGCAAGTGCGCCAGCCACATACATCAACAGAGACATTACTACGTCCTTCTGGATGAGACCCAGTTCAGAAACATCGGTGATTGAGATAAGAGCCTCCATAGAAAATGGCGAAAAATAAAGGATTTCGGAGCTAGTGAAAATCAGCATTTTGTCGGGGTGAAACAAGAAAAGTGGTACTTAATTCGCAAATGAGAGAGAGAAAAAGGGACACTTCAATAGCCATCCGATAAAAGTTTCCACTAAGTAAGAGAAACTTCACGTTTTAAAATATCATGTCCACAAAATGGGATCAACACGAAACCCATAAAACATCGAACAACTATGTACAAGTTTAATGATGCCTGGCAACTCTTGCGATTGGCGAAGAAAGGTTTCAATTTTGTTAACAAAGACCTTCAGTTCCACCCATATTTTTATCTGATGGTTGTTTGTATTGTTGTTATTGTCAACATGAACAAGCGTATGAAAAATAAAACCTTACAAGGAAGAAGTCTTCATCAGGTGGTTCACGTCGAATGTCTCCTAAATGTTCAAGTTCCATCTCCACCCATGGCAACATAAGAAAATCTCTCCATTCTGGATGCTCTCGACTGATCACGTGGTCGGCGAAGTCTCGACAAATCTCTTCTATAACGACAGATTTACGCAGATGCTTCATAAATAATGTCAGAGGTTAAAATAATGTTACAAACGTTGTTTAAAGAAACTGAAACAGTTCCGAAAAACGCGAATTCGACCTTCAAATTGTTGACAGCGTCATTAACAATGAATATCAGTGTGAATGATAAGAAATCCTGACGATGGCGCCAAACTTAACAACAGCAAATGTCAGTCAACAATGATTAATCAAATGTTCTGAGCCTATATATAAAGAGCTAAGAAAAAAAGCTCTCTGCTATGATCAATCCCTAATAGATGCGCAATGCATTCCACATCATTAACTATCATTGTAGGTAAATGCATAGCTGGCTTTTACAATGACTCGCGGTGGCCTACCGATGTATCGACCAGCTGCTGCCATCCTCCCAGAGAAGTCTAGTACCAGTTTTCCGACCTCGGAGGGATGGAGTGCTTGGTGAACCTGGGCGCAGGGATCGGTCCTATGCGCATCGCATAGCAGCTCCGACCAGTGCGTTACACAAGCCCCTATATATAAGCAGAAGCAAGAAACTAAACAGCGATTTAATGCGATCGCTTAAGCTCAACGTCGAAAACAGCTTCCCTTTCTTTTTTAGAGCGATCAGTCTACATTACTCACCACCGTCTGCAACAGGTTTTATGAGGAAGATCACGCTGTAGGCAGCATTATGAGGAACGAAGTATAAGGGGACAACTCGGACGTTAGGTCTGTCCGAATGAGAAATTCGTACGCCGAACTCATCCATAATATACCACAGTGGCAAACTTTCTTCATCCATTTCCTAAAGTAACTCTCTATCACCTCTAAACATTCTGTGTAGTCAACCTACCTGCTTATATTTAATGGTGTAAGTCTGGATATATTTCCACATTTTTTGAAGTATTTCGTCAACAACAGAACTATTATCTTTGACAGTGTAGCAAAGACTAGCGTCGACAGACTCCAGCCGAGGTAGAGGAGCGGCTAAAAGAAGAATTAAAGGACAACCAAGTACATGAAGACGCGTCCAACACAAAAGAAGCTCACAACTATTCGAAGACGCTTGTAATTGCTGTTCAACCTTTAGTCGCTCTTGTTCGTCACTGGTTATCTCATTTTCTCCAACAGATTCATTACACTCGTCATCACCCTAAATTAAAAACAACTACATACGAATTGTTCAATAAAGGTGTTTTACATAAAATGAAAACATGAAGTAAACAACTTTCAATGTCATAAGAGCTGTAAAGTCTGATGAAAACAGGTGACACGCCCTCTTTTCCAACAAAGAAAAAGTAAATTTTAGACCACAAAAATCAAGTTATAATTTTTTATACACCACATTGTCGTCCAATTGAGGACGAGTAGTTGAACACTGACTAGGTGATCTTTCCACGCTCTGAAGAAGGCAAAACCGTCGAAACGTTAGCTATTATATGCCAATAAATTCTACAATACTAACCTTGTATCTACTTATTGAAGAAAACCAGTGAACACTAACTTCTTTTCCTGAAACAATCGACGTGCTTCTACTACGTAATTTCTTACTTTGAACTTACACTGAACCCACGATAGACCATCACCACCAGTTTGAATATATGCAGCACCATTCTACATAGCGAAAGTGTTAACAGACACTCAAATTCAGTTGTCCGTACTTCGTGAGAAGGATACAATGAGTAATCCATTACAATGATGACTCATGCGCGGTCACAAACAAAATCAACCGCGTATTTTCGCTCAAAACACTAGTGAAAATTTAATCGGAAAAGCTGTAACGAATCGAAAAATCCCTTTACTAGGTCTCACCTCTATATCAAGTAAGCTTTTCATTCGTTCAACTAGCTGCGGTAATTCTTCCAACTGGGCTCGAGCGTGGAGAGGCCGGAACGTCCATGCGTGATCGACTAGGAAAACGCTATAAGAACACAATGAATTACGAAATACTGACCTCCAACAGAAAACACAGGAGAAAGCACAAATGTTAAGTTTTTATTTGTTGCCTACTACAATTTTCACGGCAGAGTATTATTTGTGATACAACGACAACAATGCTGAGATATCTGCAAAACTTCGGACCGCAGATATCTGCGGTGGGTAACGAACGCACTATTACCCTTTCCGTGTGATAAAGCGTTCATCACGACACCATGCGGATCCTTCGTTTCGCCTTTCTCTCAGGTAGTTTTCCATCCGATCATTTCTAAAAAGCACATACTTGTACTCATCTTTGGGATGAAGATCTTTTGTAGCAAATACACTCCAGTTGGCACCCTCATCTGTTTCTTCACATAGAATTCGAAAATAATTCCCAGCATCAAACGTCTAAAATGAAAATGTAGTTGGTCACGAGAATACTGCTGAATGGTCATTTAACTGAACGAATTCAACGCTTGGACAGTGTAGCTTCTAACGAACTTGTTTCCTTTTCATAAAGCTAAACAGAAATGAAAAAAGTTCCTGCCACATATAGAACGAGCTCCAAAAAAACTCCCTTTCTTTCCATTTATAAAGTTAAATCGAAATAATTATAAGCTACTACAATGATGACGAGACATCCGCAAAGCTTGCACACCATGCCAGATCAAACCACGATTACGCTTTCCGGAGGCTCGCCCACTACACACTACACCACTGAGGACCTTGTCTTGCGTTTCTCTCAGTTAGTTTTCTACCTAACGCTATGAGCTCCTACATGCACAGGATCCTGAGGTCTTTTTCACTTGAAAAAAGTAGCTATTATTATAAAATGAACACTAAGAAGGATGCATTTTTAAAGAAACCAGGCAAGGAAGCACACTTTATACACTGAAGGTAGCTGTAGCAGAATGCTTACGTATCCTCAGCACTGCGACATCCGTTCTAAATATACGACAGCTCGGACCAAAGACGTTAGTGTTGTCACTGACCTGCTGCATCAGCTTCGAGTAAAGACTTCCCCACAACTCCGGTGGTATTCCGCCCGCCTCCAGCTGACTCTTGTGACCTTGTAGAAAGTGTTCAAAGTGATAGTCACCGAATTCCATTTCTGGAAATCTTACATACAGATGACAATTGAGTTTTAACTAGAAATAAGAATGCAGTTTGAAGCGCACTATGAAGCAGAATTTGAATAAGATCTGCCCATTGACAAATGAAACTCTTATGAAAATAACCAAAGACGTCTCAAATGTTCCTAATACTCACGTAGGCGGTTTCTCGGTCCAAGAGCAAACATCACTGGCACTATATAAAGAAAGTGAAGAACTTTGAAATACATCACTTAATATCTGCCTTCATCCTTCATTCATAAATAGACATATTTACCCCAGTGCTTATCTTATTTACGGACAGAAAATAAACAAAGTGGAAAGATTTGCACGTTCAAGGCCTGTAAACAGTCATAGAATTGATGGCTCACATTGTATCCCGGTTTTTAATAGGTTATCAACAAGAACGAAATGTCAGTTCACTGCGCCACCTGGCTCGATTTGGAAAGAAACAAGGATCCGTATTTCCAACGACAATACTTAATTGGTACTTGAATGGCCCGTCCTCACTGGTTGTGCGGCCTCCAGCACAATCTCTCTTTTTCGAAGATTTGCTGGTTGAGCCATTGTGGTTCCCTGGAATCCCGAGGCCAGCCTAGCCAAAGTCTGCCCCAGGTCTTCACCAACACAGCCAGTCACAGCCCTTGTGGACCAGAGGGAGATTTGCTACCATACGACTTTGATACCAGAACAGTGGTGGATCCTGGTATTGGTTCACTATTAGCTAGGCATCCTGATGGAAGCGCTAGACTCCCTCTCAGCTTGGGAGACGCTCCAACAATAATCCTCAATAAAATTTAAAAAGTAAAGCTACTGCTGTTGATTAATCGCTGTGGGATGCGCCATACACTAAACTTCATTAAGCACCGCTGAAGGTGCTTGAATGTATATCTTGCCTTTACAATGACTCGAGGTAGCTTATCGATGTATCAGACTAGTACTGCTATCCTCCCAGACAAGTTTGGTACCAACTCGGCGTCCCCGGAGGGATGGAAGGCTTGGCGATGCTTGGTCGTGGAGATCGATTCCACGTGTGCGTTGCAAGGCGCCTCCGACCACTGCGCTACACGCGCCCAATAGGTCCCAACAGGCAATAAGATACTCACAATGATTGTCGAACCATTAACCATATTATACTTTCGTATACAGGAGAAACACAGTTTATTAAAGATGACTAGTTCATTACACAACAATCTAAAATCAGCAGCCTGCAGAAAACACCTCTAAATACTGAATGGTCAGCTAATCCTCAGAAGGATGATATACACTAAAAAAAGATAAAGCTCTCGGCGTAGATCAACCTACTAGGGATTGTCGACCATCACTAAACAGGAAGATCTAAAATGCAACCACCGCTAGCAAAATGATACAAATGTGCTGTTCCCCCCGTTATTAAGAAAAACGCAACAAGGGCAAATGTGACCATCGAGTTTACAACAATCACCAAATGATAGTTGGCAAAGCGAGGCAGCACATTTTTTAGCAGCAAGCGCTGCTATTCAGCACTCTCCGAACAGCGTGGAAGTTGGGTCGCATTAGCCGAGCACTACCGACCACCACTACGAAGTCGGTAGTCAATCTGTCCCTGCTGTTTCTCAGTCTATAAACGCCTACTTCATAGTTCACCGATGAGATGGACAATGTATGAGCATAAAAGTGAGAAAAAAAATGAAATATGGCTAGAATTCTAGGAAATCCCATAATCCTGGAACCACTACATTTCATAAAAAGATCGCAAATTTTACGATTATGGAGGAATTCTGGATAGATACAGAGGCTTTCGAAATGAATGAAAAAAACACGAATTCTGCATTCGAATACCGATTCATAAAGCTCCATATAACACCTGATTAGTATGCAATACCTCAGTGTTATTCGTGAAGGAAGCAACTGCGAACTATGCTATGGAGATCTGACTTTGCCAATAATCCCTTCACGGATTACAAATCCTTCTTTCTGGGAAAACTTAACATTGATATGACTTATTGGGCCACCCAAGTATGACAAGATTTTCAGTAAGATGATTCACAACATTAAAGTGGCTCAAAGATTTCAGTTTTCATGCTCACGAGACGATGGTTAGCCAAAAGGAACGACGACATTGGGATTGAAAAAAAAGAAGTTCGCTTGAATTTTCAGACGTCAAAGTAGCTCAACATAAGGCAATGAGCTGCCAACTGTACATGATGTTAATTGGGAGACGAAACGGTTGGCTTTTAATTGATAACGTTTCAGAACTGTAGTACTAACTGTCAGTACAGCACTAATAACTGCAGTACTGTCGAAAGCTCTACGCATTCAGCAAACGATAAGTGATGTCTCAAAAGCTCTGATCATTGCAGTGATGGCTAGAAAACCTCCTCTTACAGATGATTCAGAGAAAAAGAGAAGTACCCTGCCCTACAGCGAGTCGAAAACAACAACATATGAGTTCCCACCACTATCGATCGGATGTCCTTGGTCAGCCTATGAAATGGAGCGATGTGCTCTGAACTTCTCCAAGACTTCCTATGGACTGTGGTTCGCAAACACGACTCCAAGCCTCAAGAAGAGCTCAAGAAGAAATAGAAGAAAAACGAAATGAAAAGCTAAAAAACGAAGAAAAATAGAGAAAATAGAGGCATCAGACGATCACATGGACGACTCGAACATGTGAACGGCACTAAACACCGACGAGCACATTCTATTCGAAACAACATCAGGCTTTCCTTGAACCTCAGAACTTCTAAAGAACTGTCCAGACATTTAAGAACAGTTACAGAGTTCTAGAATGCACATTTATTTTACATAAGTATTATCTATTGCTCTAATAAAACCACCACCATGGACGACGACTGCGCGGGAAAGCAACGAATGGCAAACGTGCTGCGGACCACACAACTATGTGAACCGTCCAAGTATCCAAGTAAGTAAACATTATTTACACTTAATAGCTTTTGTTTTTACATTTGCATAATGAAAACAAGCACTCCACAATGGCGATAATTCGAGTAAAATGTGACGTCATAAAACTTAGCGTTCTGTGACGCGACGTTCTATCACCTGTAGTATCATCTGCAGTCCCGTTGATCGTCGAGTGACTTGAACGGGCGCCAGTAAATCTTACATTTCTCGCTGTCGCGTACAAGAGTAGCCCAGTTGCTCGCTCAAGGGACTCGTCCAGCATCATATCTTTCTTCAAGGCTCTTCGTGAAGAACTCTGACCATCGAGTCGGTGGTCTTCCTGAAGTACGTTTGACATCCCGAGGAATCCAGTCACTCACGGCTCTTGTCCATCAGTTGTCATTCATACGCATTACGTGTCCGGCCCACCTTATCTTCGACTGTTTGGCGTACAGAACGGCAAGTGTGATTTTTGATCGCTGACGCAGATCGGAGCCTTGAATCCTTTCCCTTACTTCCGTAACACTGGATACTCTTAATATTGTCCTTTCGACTGCGCGTTCAATAACGTTGAGTGATTTCTCATCCTGTTTACGCCGTGAGTAGGTTCCTGACGCATACGTTAGGGCAGGAAGTACCGTTGAGTCGAAAAGGTGGGAACGGAGTCGGGTGTTCCTTGTTCTCTTCATTACATCTTCGATGCTCTTGAAAGCTCCCCAAATCCCTCGTTTTCCTCTGCTCAGCTCTGGAGCTAGGTCGTTTATCATATTGACTTCCCGACCTAGATAGATATAACTGAAGCATTCGGAGATATTCGTTCCGTTGAGCGTGAATGGGGCATGCGAAACCAATCGGTTCTTCATCAACATCGTTTTTGTGAGATTTAGTCGAAGACCAATATTTCCACAGGCTTCATAAAAGTCGCCGAGCATACGTTCCGCTTGGCTAATGTTTCGTGTTATAAGGACGATGTTATTAGCAAAGTGAAGATGGTGTAACTGCCGATCGTCGATTTGCACTCCCATATTATCCCATTCCAATGTTCACATGACGTTCTGGAAGGTGGTGGTAAATAATTTTGGCGAGATGGTATCGCCTTGCCTAACTCCTCTTTTGACGTCAACGTTAATATCGTTGTACAATGGTGATATCTTGATTGTGAAGGTTTTGTACAGCTCACGAAGAATCTTTATGCACTGAGTAGGGACTCCTTGACAATGAAGGGCTTCCAAGACTGATTCTATCTCAATTGAATCAAAGGCCTTCTGTAAATCGATGAAAGTGAGACAGAGCGGCCTTTCGTACTCTCGCGATACTTCAATGAGCCGTGTTACCGTGTAGATGTGGTCCATCGTACCAAATCCTCTTCGAAACCCTGCTTGCTCACATGGCTGTCCTTCGTCTAGCGTTCTGTCAATCATGTTTAGGACGACTCGAATGAAAAGTTTGTAGACGACAGAAAGTAAGCAGATTGGGCGATAGTTGCCGATATCGTGCTGGTCACCTTTCTTGAACAATAACACAGTCTTGTTGGTTTTCCACTGATTAGGGACCTTGCATTCAGAGAGTTAACATGTGAAGAGCCGAGCCAATGTGTTTACGAGGATTGGCGGAAGGTTCTTCAAGTGTCCTGGTCTTATCCCGTCCGGATGTGAAGCTGTTCGATTTTTCACCGACGAAATGGCATGTCGGATTTCGGAAGAGAGAACCGGTGGTACAACATATCCATCCTGCTTTATTTCATATGGCGGAAGGTGGACGTGGCTATCGAAGAGATCCGAGTAGTATTCGTGAATGATTTTCTCCATTGTCTTTCTGGACGCTGACTGTTCCGTCTCGGCATCGGAGAGCAATCATTTTGGTCTTGTAATTGGCGAAGCTTCGGTGAGCTTTGCGAATGCTTTTCTATGCGTGTCTATTTCGTGTGATAAAGGTTATTCTGAGCTGAGATATACCGCTTTAGAAAACAAACGTTTAAATCCGCCATTAGTTTTGGAAAACCTAATAGGTGAATGAAGGAGTCAATGGATAAATGAAGATGAAATTTCACTTAAAAAATTGTCCTGGAAAACACAACCTTATTGAATTTTAGAAAAATTACAGTTAGACATTAGCACATCTGAATAGTTGGGAGGAGCAGTGAACTATAGGTTCACAGCATCTATGAAAAAGACGATTGCATGTCATGAAGTGGTAAAACAGCTGTAAAGCAGCACAACTGGCGACCAACTGATTTGTAAAACAAAATGACATCCGCAAACGATGGAACATTTCGGACGACCTCCTACAAGTTCGTTAAGATCTCCAATGAAGTGGGGAAAAACACGGATTGTTGACACAGTAGGAAAACCCTCGAGAAAAAACGCAGTCATTCTTTGAAATTACTTTCGCTGACTGTATAAAAGAAAGAGTGGAGGTGATAATCATAGTAGCAACATAGTGCCCAAGAGAACAAACGTGAGCTGGTAACAAAAATAAAAACAGTAAGCTCCGTTGCATCAGATGGCTGAAGATCGGTTGTGCCACTGGTTCGACGAGGTCACGAAAATTCGAGGATCTAACGTGTTTACAGAATTTTAGATGGGATCTTGCTCGATCGCTCTGAGTCCAGATAATTTCTCAAAAATTATGTTTTCCAACTTGCTTTCCCAATAGCTCGGAAACTGTAGCTCTCGAGCTGTCGGAACATGTGCAGTGGAAATATCACGCCCCAAAGGACAATACTAGCGAGATAGGGTCTCGTTTATCCTGCCCTTATTTCCAACGAAGTAAGTGCAGCTATAAAACGTTACTTGAGAAGGGCCGGTCTGGAGAATTGGGTAACAGTGAAAGAAATATCGGATATCCTAAGCAAAAAATTGCATAATATGCCCTAAAGACAGAGATAGTGAATGCATGAGTTCGTGTACAGTGTACCGGTTCTTTTGTCAGGCACGTGGGGAAGAATATGTTGGTGGAACTCTGACCACTCAGCGTCTGTTTAAAACAATACCTAGTCAGTAAATTTAAATTGAAACCAAATACCCCACTGGGGGCGCATAATGTAGAAGATTTTGAATTAAAAGTCGCTATCCTCGCACAGGATCTAAAATATCAGCGCCTCAAATCCTCGTAGCAATCCGGATTAACTCCAGAATGATCCCACACAATGTTTGAGACTTACATTTTAGTGAATTCTGTGCAATTGGTCGCCACGTATTCTCAGCGGAGGACTCACAGAAAGCGATAACGGAGGTGTTTGACAGACGAGATTGTAGTTAACTTGACGCTTTAAGACTTTTAAGAAGGCGAAATCCACTGAAACATCAGCTTTTGTAGGTCGAATTCATGGCGCATCCCTCAAGGATTCATCAACGCCGGGAGCTTTATCCTTTCTTTTATAATAACACTCTTATGTGCCTATAAAAAACTATTCATTCGTTCTATATTTGTTTGAAATTTGAATCCTTAGAAAACTGAAGAACAAATCGCAAATGTGGTAAATGACCGACTTTTCATTCATAGAAAACGTCGTGCCTTTCTGTAAGAAATGATCCACGTTTAGCCGAAATTCGAACTTTAACGAAAAAAAAAGTTGAAGGAAAAAATGACTCCTAAGATTTGGAAAGCCTTAATTCCATTGTGGTAGAATAAGCGCACTTACATCTTATTGAAAAAAGTTATTTAGAAATCAGTGGTCTTTATGTACATTAAGAAACTTCACTATGAACATAGGTATGTTTTCGAATGATTGTAAGATAAGCTCAAAGGCTAATTGATTTTCATGAGTCATGTATGGCTCATACAGTGAATTAGATGACAAACAATTAAAAAATGAAAACAACCTAGCGGACATTTTGAAGAGAATGATGGGAACGGAAAAAGACAACAGCTGCTTGTAACGAAGTCATACTGCGAAGTAGTTTCTCTTTCGTAAACACTACTGGGCTGAGGATTTTGTTCATTCTCTATGAAAACTTCTCTCTCACGACGGCAAAGAAATAGCCGCAACTTGCTACTTATGGCCATGCCCTCAACATAGAGACACTGTCAAGACGAGAACAAATGGCAACTAATGTTTGCTTTATTTTTGCCATACCGCATACCATCTGCACCCCTTCATGGAAAGTGAACATACTGACAGGCTCGCAGAAATTTCCACATTTGCCGATAATTTCCAATAGATAGAAAAATGAAGATTTTAGATTCTAAAAACTTGTAAAACAAACTGCACCAGTTTTTCTTGATACGGTCGGTGGCGTATTGTGTGGCGACTGCGTGAGACGACACCTACTTCTTCGCGACAAAATGAGACATGTATCATTCACGATAGGCTCACACATATAAATTGCATGCACCACAACCTAAGCCCGCTACGCCTAGTATGGATACTATAGTGTCCATTTTCAATTTACTACGTCCCAGAACTTTTTTCCACCGGACTGTTAAAGTTCATTCGATAGCTAGTCGAAAGCAGATCAAAATAGAAGGGTTGGGACCAGAAAAGCCACTCTTAACATTTAATGATTAATTTTTAAAAAACCTTCCTTCGAAAAAGACCATTATCCAGTAATTTGACGAACAATTAAATGGTAGTAATCGCGTGTTCTAAACCCATCTGAGGTTCCGAATTTTGCTCAGTGTCATTGTAATCCGTCAGCAAACCTCGCTAGAGAGTAAGCGAATGCCAGAATCCACCACCGTCCTGATATCAAAATCGCGCGGCGGCAAATCTCCCTCTGATCCACAAGGGCTGCGACTGCTTGTGGTGGAGACGACCCGGGACAGAAGTTGGAAGATCACCATGGACAATGGATGAGAGGAAACGAATCAAATGTGAGAAGTGCTGGAATACGCACAGTAGACGTGAAGACGGATCAAATAAAATAAAATTAGAAAAGTATGTAAATCTCATCGATATAAATAGCCAGGTTATTGCTTAGACTTTTAACAACGCGACGATCTCGTGTAAACAAATAATTTCGATAACCCTGATGCTGTAGAACTATACTAAAATCCGCATATATAAGTCTTCTCACTGACTTGCAATCTTATTATAGCTATAAGACGCTCTAAAGTTTCGAACCTCAGTACTAAAGTGGAATAAAATGCCTCTGTTCTCTTTTAAAGTCTCTCTAGCTGTTGCCTCCCCATCAAGTCTCTTGGTCACGAAATAAACCAGTTCAGGAAAAAATCTTTCGTAAATTACAAAGTATAAGAAGTAAATTTTTAGATCCGAGGCATAGAACGATAATCGATGTTCGATAAAGCATCGACTGACTACAAAAAACTCAGCAGGATACATTTGTACGGCAAAATAAACTGCTTCAAAACTAATTCATACCAACACATGAAGGCACAATAGCCCCACAATAGATGAAAATCCATTCATGTCGGTCATTAAATCAAATGTCTCGCCACTGTAGGTTCCATCCGTACCGTTTGGTCTTGATCTTGCGCCAAACGCTCACGGTCAGCGTACTACTTCGATTTCGTTCCGTTTCACATTTACGCTACAAACCGGAACTAGGGAATGAGAAACGGAAACTGCCCACGTTACACAATGGGCTGGACAAATGGTCTAACATCTCCGTCTCCGTCACAATGTCTGTGTTTGCGTTTCTTTTTAATTTTTCACGACGACACCTCACTTCATACTATTGGATGTTACGTCGAGTTTCTTCTTTGTGCAAAATTACCCCATGCAACTTTATTTCATGAACGGCGGTTTATACAAACGAGATGAAACCGTTAACTGAGTCAAAAGTGCCGTTCTTTTTTGGTGCATCTTTCGTAATGACCAATTATCACAGAGAAAATCAAACAACAATCAATCATTTAGTAAGACAAAGTGGTAAAAAAAAAGTATTCAGCACGTATAATTCTCACACGAGAGCTTAACAAACTCAGTTGACCAACTGACAACGGTCTTATGAAACAATTCGAAGCGCACGGAAGTATAACAAACACTTATTATCACTGGTGAATACAACTTTCAAGACCCAACTGTATAACACGGTAATAAAATTTCAGTAACAGTTATTTGAAAAAAGCATGGTTGGTGCCATAATACTAACCCATTCCTTAGTCTGACGCCTTCCTGTAACAGTGAAAAAATCGAAAGGATTAAAAGAAGTGTTAGTTTTTGGAGCACAGTCGATGAATTAAATGACAACTTTGATGAATATAACAATACAACGGATTGTAAAAAAAAAACAACTGCTACAGTGACTACTTAGATGTTCGTCATCCTTTCGTGTATTTGAAGTTGCGTATTAGTTAAATTGGCTAAGTACGATATCATCATGTAGTCCTGGAAGCACATAATTAACTATAAACCCCAAAACCAAAAGCTTCCACTTACCCTAAGGCTATTCTTAACAAGGCTATCAAATTTCTCCGCTAGCATGTGTGTAGCAGCCGTGTTAACAATATCCATTAGTCGTCGACCCATTGTTGCATCAGCAGGAAGTTCACTACGAGACATTACCTCATTAACATACCTTGAAAGAATCGGAATTTTCTAGATGTTACATAAGGCGACTACTCAAGAAGACTGCAGTCATACGACTTACTCAAGAAGACGTTCTAGCCATTCAATTATCTTGCCGATACTTCTCTCAAGCTGCTGTAGCCCATTCTCCATTGTTACTTCACGACGCCTTGAGTCAAGAGCATTCTAAATCATTCCAACGTAAAAGTTCCACTAAATATCCACTATTAATAATTGTAACGACACTAATTCTCAAGACAGGGGCGCCGAAAACAAACCGCAGAGAGGATGTCTCGTAGTTACGCGTGATCTTACACAGTATTTAGCACTGATATTTTAATGTGAAAGAGACATTACGCTTCCATGTGAGTCTTGTGCGGTTGATTTCCACGTGAAGTACATATTGGAAGACTCACAGAAAGCAGTGAGTGTACGAAGAAGATATTCTGTGTTCAATTAGACTGAAATCTTGGTTTAGTATATACCCTGTTTGGTATGAAGCTGTTTGCCTTAGCCTGCAGTCAACTTAATCTAAAGGCTATGAAGAAGGCGAAGTACGCCGAAATGTCATGTTGTTAATATGTAAACAACGAAGTAGCAACATCATATTTGCTCATTAAGAATACAGAGTAACAGCAACGTTCACCTCAATCAATTGCATTGCTACACGCTCTCCTGGAAAAGCATCCAGTTCGACACGGAGTGGATTAAATATTGCGCAGTGCGGATCCCGAGCACGAGGAATACCAGCCATCGTTCTATAAAGATTCCATAAAGCTTTTTTTCCGATGAAAGTAGCTTAAGAAGTGAATGACAGCTTAACCTAAGATAGGCTCTCATAGGCATACGATATTTGTTATCGGCACTAGAGAACGTTGTATCGAGAGTTAACAGAATGAGTGGTGGTGATTCCTTCCGCGAAACCTGAAAAACCCATAGCCCTCAGTTTTATCAGCTACCTGTGAAATATTGCAAATGCTCAAACTTCCACGCCGTACTAAAAGGCAGCATTGTGTTCACGTTGCTTTCTAATGCCTGCATTTCACTTTGCACTTTGCAGTTGAGATTTCGCTTTTCCGTTACATTTATTTCAACTCACACTAGTAGAAGAATAATAAATTCAAGCTTGTGTGAAATCAAAATAGGTTGAATGTGGCAGAGAATGCTGGTAATATAGAACTTGCACTTGGACACACGGAAAACATGTTTCGAAGACCCTAAACTGAATTTGAGAATCAAAATACTCAAATGAACGCAGAATTAAACCGCGCCCATTTCTCGCAATAGAAACCATGCTATTCTTAGCTGTTCCATGACGCGACACGAAGAGCGAATTCTGTTCGAAGACCCATGACCACCTGTGCTATAGGTACACAACGATGAACCACCGAAACATTCCTCCAAAAACAAATTTACACACAGAGGAATACTAACGTTTACGTACCAGAAGGATAAAACGATACAACTCTCGGCATTGATCAATCCGCTAAGGGATGCGCTATGCATTCGACTTCATTAAGCATCGTTGAGATGACTGAATGCATATGTGACCTTTACAGTGACTCTCGGCGGCCTACCGATGTATCGAGCCAGAGCTGCTCTCCTTCCAGACAGGTCTGGTATCAATTTGCCGACTCCGAAGGGATGTTAGGCTTGGTGAGCTACGGACGTGGGATCGATCATATGAGCATCGCGTGGTGCCTCCAACCGTTGCGCCACATGCGCCAAATCTTTACGTACTAGGTGCATTTAATCATACAATATAGTTTCTTTTATCTCTGAATCAAAAGCGACAACAGCACAGCATTTTCAGAACACACATAAAGTCCACCACAAAGGAGAACGCGTAAACAACAATTATCACTCGAAAGTGTACATATTTGTTGCGCGATATCATCCAGGCGTGTGTTCCACGACTAAAGACGCAGAGCTCGAAAGAAACATAAAAAACCCAAGTTTCCAAACTAATCACTGGCCGTAATTCTGGTCTTAAAAACTAACAATATCAATGTGTCGTTTTCTTGTTCAGCAATCGTGAGGTTTTTAAACAGCATACATTTACTTCCATAAAAACACAATACAATACAACGCTAGCTGACGTTTCGGCAGTATCGCCTTCTTCAGAGCCTGGAAGGGTATACTGANGTGTTTTTATGGAAGTAAATGTATGCTGTTTAAAAACCTCGCGATTGCTGAACAAGAAAACGACACATTCATATTCCAATGCCGAGGTTAAGAGAAAGTCGATCCTGGGAACTAACGATATCTTTAAAAGATAATCATATCCTACACCAAAAAAGTTACATCCTGCACTACAAGCAAGAAATAGCTATTAGACCGCCACACAGACCGATGAATAGTGAGAAATTACGAAATGAAACATTTTCCATATTCAAAAACAACCAGCTTTGCAGTATGATGAGATAATAGGGAAAGAAAGGCATCAGGCAGTATCTAATCAAGTCGAAGACTTTCCTATTTCTTTTCACCTATTTTAAAGAAAAGATGACCCTCTATTCAGTGAGTGGCACAGTCACAAAATGTGGTACATTTCCTTAAGCAATGAACAAACCTCGTTAATAACTCTGTTGTAGTAATCATGATAGATTAAGCAGTTTGAAGAAAGATCAGAAGATGTGTAGAACCTTAAACAACTTCGAGTGAGAATGAGAGGTGGCAAAAGTCACACGCTCTCTCACCAGCCCACAGGTTGCTCAGTTGGCGCAGCCCTTTTCAGCATTTGAATCATTTGCTGATTGAACGAATCATCAAGTTCAAGATCATCGCGCGACTCACAAAATGGAATTGCGAAACAGTTAGTGACCTAAATTTAAGGAAATATGAAAAGCATTGTGCACTTTTGTTAGATGCCCACCTGAACAGCATCCTTTTCATAGAAGCCCATCAGAGTACCAAGAGCTTTGTCATTAGGCGGCTGTCCAGCTTTTGTTGGGCGCTGTCGGCGGAGGTAAGAATCCACAATGGTCATATAAACCACAGGATGTACTTTCACCGTCAAATTTGACGCCATTCTGAAGTTAAACACAATTGAAGGATAGAGGACGGTAATGATGAAGGCAGGCTTTTTACCACGCGAACGTAGTACGAGCAAATGATATAACGAATAGTACACTTTTCCAAATATTTATCACAGTGCATCAATCATCGAATAAAGGGTTAGTTGTGAAATACAGAATTCGATTCATCAGCATCGGACTCGTTTAATTCCTTCTGCGCAGCCCTTCAGCAGCACCAGCAGAGTCAGTACTGGATGAAGTAGTTCCTGCTCGGTGAAGTTGTTCGGTAGGCATTGGGGCACGATCCGGACCAACTCCCGAATACGGAGGAGGAGCTTCACACATAAAAACTGAATCTGAGCTAGGACGATCAGGGAATGCATGAGTGGGCGGTCGTAGCCCATTGTGACCTAAAAATATTATTATAGTGACAGTAAATTATATTACAGTGACAAGCACCTGGAAAACCGTGCAGTTTGGCCATGTTAAACCTGCATCTCAAAATAAAAAAAAAAGGTTTTGCACAACATAAACCAAGAACTGAGCCTTGGCAACAGTCAACAGTCACACTTCTGAGGTGATTACTTTTTCGCAGGTTTTGTTACATCGATGCGCCTTTCACAGAAAGAAAGACCTACCGCCAAGTAGCCGATCATTGGTAGCCTAAGTCTTAAGCAAAAAGTCCTGTACAACAACATCTGCCATGATTAAATAACTGTCCATCCCACACCACTACCAAAGCAGTACCCGGCATATGAACAACATGTGTGCGGATAGCATCACATTCGTCAGCCTAGTTAAGCGTACTTTATTATAATTAGAAGTAAATTTAAGTAGAATCATGCGGGTATTTATGGAAAAACTTGGATATTGCTCTTAAAAATGTATTGGAAATGCAAAAGCTATTGTCTATCTACAAGGTTCTTTGCCAGTGATCAACATTGTGTAGCGAGCAATCAAGCTTTGAGATAAAACCATTATTTTCTGAGAACAAGTGATAGTGAGCTCGAAAAACAACGCGTCAACTATATGGGACTGCAGTATAATTTAATGGAAGCTCAAGTTCGAATTATCATAATCGATATGTTTCATCTCTAGTTGGCTAAGCAGCAAAACTAACTTCCAAACGGAACAGCTCACAAAACTTTATAGTTGGGTATCACGATCAAGTTCCCATATATAATATTCGAAAACAAAATAATGTCGTACAATCCCGATTGTAAATTTTGATTAAAACGAACGCTTACCATCAACTGAAGGAGCGTAGTAGTCCGGTGGGGCTGCATAGAAATACCCTTGAGGTGGAGCATAAGGAGGAGGTGCGTTCGAAGGACGAAACCTCAAATGAAACTTATAAATTGGCTTCCAGAATCTAACGATGAATTTAATTTACCTTTCAGCTCTGTCGACAGCTTCCAACAAGGTACGACCAAAATCGATACAACCACCTTTATTGAAAGTTAGACGCCACGGTACTTCGCCATACAGCTGCGACCCAGGAATGGCAGTTGCAATGCCTCGTAAGTAATTAGCCCCTTAAAAGAAAATAATTAAAAAACCATAACTAGGGCAAACCTGTTCCTCGACATACCAAAAATCGGTTGTTCCAAATGAACATCCTGCATTGATGAGAATGGGATTTCAAATGACACAAAACGCTTAGGTGTATCTGGCATGAATATTATACGATGTGATGTCAGGTAAAGTACGCCGTTGTATTTCCCTTCCAAGCCCTGAAAAGTGCGAATAAAAAGGGTTATAAAATATGAATTACAAAGCCAAAAAAGGATATCAATTACCTGATTGCTATTCTTCTCAACAGTCATCACCACATCCCTTGCAAAAACTAGAATTACTTCCCCATTGTAAATTAACACACCACGACCATCTGGGGTATTGGCTGTATTAATGGACATTCACTTGGGCTAGAAACGGAACGAAACTAAACCATCTCGTTTTGGAAGAGATAGATAATAGATAGCACAATGCGTATATACGCACGGAATCATAATGAGTATAAAACCACAGTTAGTTTTAACAAAATGGATACGACACATAGAAAAGCCTAGAAACCCACAATGGCTAGTTAATATAGTTTGAATTACAGCAATAAACAAGAAGAACGAGACATAATTAATACCTCTATTCCTATCGATAACAAGTTACATAATGTTAACCTTTTCATTTGCTGCCTACTATAATTTTTCATAGCAGGGTATGATGTGAAATACAACCACATCGACGGTGAGATATTCGCAAAACCTCGATGCCGGACCAGATCGAACCACGATTACTCTTTCCGGGGGCTCGTGTATTACACTCTGCAGCATGGAGGTCCTTGTTCTGCGTTTCTCACAACTAGTTTTTGCGAATATTTCAACAAGTTACACAGTTCTGCTCACAACTTAGTACTTTTGTGGCTGTAGTTCACAAGGTACAGAATTAACAAAAGCGAATGCAAAAACAACTAGTAGCTAAAAATATAAATCGTTTCATTTTTCCCGCTGAAGTTGCACCATGAACTCCTCCAATTTCTCTTGTATTCGACGTACTTGCTCTGAAACACACCCAACCATACAGTTAATTAATATACAATCCTTAATACCTAATACACAATCCTTACTAAGCTCTTCTGCGAGGTCAACCCTTCTGCCAGTCACATATTTTTGTTTCTTTTCGGGTTCTTGAGACCATTCGTCTAGAACGTCCTGAACATAAAACACAGTAAAACTCAAAAAATAAGGAAACTAAATCCTTCTAATACATTGACGATGTGCCAAAAATAATGTACAGTCCGGAGTTCCGAACACTTAAAGGATAAAGGATAAAGGGTGTATATGTATGTGCATCGCAGGACTCCTCCGACCACTGCGCCACACGCGCCCTTCCGAACACTTACGGTTCGCTTGTATTACTAAACATCGCATGAATTCTTCTGTTTAAATAAAATATGATACCTTAAATATAACACAACAGCGCAACAGAAGAATAGTTCCCTCAAAAAAAAATATGCAGTGTGAGGTTCCCACGAACCTTCACTTCTCTTTCAAGCCGACGTTGCTCAGAATTCGTTATCTGTTGACGAAGAGCATTACATGTCAACTTCAACATCTTCCGTATCCTAAGAAACCAAGCATTAAGTGAAAACAAAAAAAAAACCGCAGTTCTATAACGAAGTTATACCTATAGAATAAAACAACCGTTTGACAATCAATGTCATTTTCATTGAATCCTTGGCGATAGTGTTGATACAGTGACAGGCAATCTCGACCGTTCTAGACATAAAACATGCTGCCGATAATAAAAAATAGAGGGTAAAATCAACTAGCAAAACCTGGATAGTTTTTTCAAGGAAATGCTTTTTATAAATGAGATTCCATTGGCGACGTATTGTCTCAGAAGGCACTTCTATAACTCCTTTCGTTTCGAGGTTACGTTTAACAACTAGAAGGTCTTCATCTGACAGAGCCTGTCTGTGTTCCTAGAATAACTCAGTGGATAACTTATAGTAATTCCCACGACCAACTTTCTAATAACTTCGGCAATGATCAAACAATTCTCTACATTCTTGTCGAGCAAACACATGTTACTTTAACCTTGCGTTTGCTCAACAAGAACAGAGAATTATTTAAGTGGATAACATTGTCATAAATAAAATTCTACGAATCCCTATAAACCAAGAGCAAGAGGACTCACTGGATCGTTCCCGAGCATAGTCATTAGCTCATCTTGGACCGCGCTAGCAAAGTGATTCTCTGCAGTAGGTGTCTTCCAGAAGACCCAACGAGAGATCCACCCAGGCCCACGGGCATCACTAAGCTGTTGGTCAACCAGCGCCAAACGGGATTTCGCAGACTAAGTAAGAAAGCATTTTTTAAAATAGAAACTGAGTTTATACAATTGACACCTCGCTCATGAATTGACACGCGGAATCCCATGACTTCCGATCAGGCACTGCACGATCTTCCATGGCGTTTAGTTGGATAACCCGCTAAAAGACCACGATGATTCACAAAACCACTAAATAAATTCCTGAACTGATTGCTAAAAACCACATGCACTTATGACCTTCCATAGATTATGAGCACTCTCTACGACCACTGTACATATGACTATTCAAAAACAACGCCATTTTAAACCGCCGATCACATAAGTTTCCAGAAGATCCGAAGTGAAATCCAAAATTCCATAATTTTTGATAAAAGCGCTGGTATGATAGTGAAAAAGATAAGACAAAGGCATGTGTAGTGAAGTTCCCAATACCTACTTTCTGCTAAGTTAACACTGTTCAATAATATTAATAACTGTTAAAAACCTGGTGTCTGATCAAGAAGAAAACACTGACATATGTACTCGTCTGGTGCAAAAACAATGGCTGATTTTTCATTGTGAATTTGAAGGATACGTTTTGCAATAGATATTGAATTCACACATAATAGATTGATAAACAGTTTCTAGACTACCCGTATTCACATCTACTGTGCGAACCGCAGCCCTACTTGCATTCGAATCGTTCCCTCGCACTCATCACCCACAAAAGGTCTTCGAACTTCCTATTATGAAATCTGCTGCTCCTTGAAGACTTTTGACCTCGTTATGAATGTCGTTAAATATTGGTCGAGACGAATCTTACTGAAGTTATACTATAGTTTTGCTTTACCACATAAAACTCAAGGAGTTAGTTGATCCCAAACATGTCAGTAACCTATTATATGACTCCTGAGGAATGAGAAGCTGGGTGAGTTCGGGGGGAGGCAGAACCAGCGCCGTGCTCGTAATGGTCAGAGTTTTGCAATGCCACTGCGCTACCCGTCTCTCGTGTTAATGTTATGTATATGAATGGTGTTGGCCATCGACTCGGATCAACTAGGAGGAAGAAGGCGAAGATGAAGTAGTAAGCGAGTAAAACTCACTTCCAACCTGATGTATGCTTAGTAATTCAAGAAACGATTCATTGGTTCACACCAAAGCTAACGGGAAGTGTTTCTAGAAAAAAACAGTTTAACTATCCACGTTTGAGAGATCTGGCGTGGTGCTGCGAATGAGGATCTGCATAGGAGAACTGCTGTACAACAACAGAACTTTACAATAGTTTTATTTTGTTAGGAAACATGTAGATCCTAATGCTCTTCCATGATTAAATAACTTGTGTGACACTAGTTATAACAACTCGAAGTTGACGACTACAAACCTCTTTTACTTCATAAGGTTAATGAATTCTATCGGCAAAATTTACGGTACACCTACAAATAACAGGGACGCTATCTTCTTTGCAAAACACACTGATCATGAAAAAAAAGAACCTAGTAGACAAAAGGATATTCATCAAAGCGAAAACTGAAGAATAAACTAGTTAAAACTTTAAGATCAAAATGCTACTCACAAGGTAGTCCAAAGCCTTATTATCCCACTGATGATTAGAAATGGCTTCCTGTATAACGGCATCTTTAAGTGGATCGAATATTGCATCGTGATCATTGCGACTAGCGCAGTCTTGCTTAACTTTCCGAATGAAAACTTCTCGCAATGTTTCCCAACCTGACTGAAATATATCAGACATTCACGATATAAAACCACCAAATTTTACAAATTCCTGCATTTTGCGGTTAAGGATCCGCAAATTTACGAACATATATCCAATAATTTGTTACGTTTAGCAAGTCGCATGGAAACAAAATTCAGCTTCAAATAATGCTCGGACTATGATCACTAAACAGACACTTAACCCGATCATTGGTTAAAAAATGAAAAACTACGCACGTCTACACATTTTTGAGGAAGCTCCTTATCGGCCCAATGTTTCAGACGAATATCCACCAATGTGTTGAATGACCTATGAACAAAATATTGCAACTTACAAGCATAACATATACAACTTCTGTTTACAAGCACAAATTTTGTTTGAAAAAAAGTTGTGATACCCGTTCCACAAGAAACTTTAATTATGCAGTAAAATTGGCTATTACACTGATTGAAAACAACACTACGTCTAAAAGCCCACAAACCCAGCATTATTAACGGCTGCGGCTGGCATTAAAATTTGATCGAATACATGAGTGGATACACTATTCCACAACTTCTTCTCCAAAGCTTTCTCCCAGTCTTCCGCGCTTACTAAGGAAAGGTTCACAATCTCGTCAAGAATCTCACCACGAGCCTAAAAATGACAGAGAGATTCAACTCAAAAAGGGGAAAAATCTGGAAAAACGATCAAATGCGATAAATCGTAAATTTTATTTACTGAGTAGTATAGTAAGTATGAGTATAGTAAATTGTACACTTTTGCATATCCGCTACTAGTTTACTCTCAAGTCACCGCCGTCCTGGTACAAATCAGTCATAAAGCGGCAAATTTTCACATAATCCACAGAATTCGGCGACTGTCTGTGGTGATGACCTAAGGAAAGCTTCAGCTGGGGGAAACTTGGGGCTCCAAAAAACCACTAACAGCTCAACTAGCAATGAACCAACTTCAGCAACTTGCCCACTGGACGCTCCATACTATGATGTTGGGCGGGAGACAAGTGGAGAAAGGAGGTAAAATCTCGTATTGCATAAACATATTGCATAGCAACCGAACCAAACGAACACGCCCACAGCACGCCATGGAGGCCTCTCCTTGCTCTCATCAGAACAGTTTCCTTAAAAGCAGACCTCGCTCCTCCTGAGGCATTTGGCAGCATCAAATTCCATGAGATCGTCCTACAACAAATGAAAAGCAGGAATACCGACATACGCCAATAAAATGACAGCATGCTTACCACTGGTGGATCGGAAATTCTGTAACGAAATGTCTTTGACGTTAGCTTTGCATAGGTCCACAAAGTTTTCAAAACAGAAGATGGTCCCTCTTTCATACCACATAGTCCTATCATTCTACACAGCTCACTGTCTATTTTGTGCGAAGGTCCGACTCGACCACCCAGATGCTCGAAAACAACTCTTGCTATCGACTGAGAAGAAGAAGACAATTCATCGTGATGGAGCATTCCGAACGGAATCTTCTCCTCACAAAACTGGTAAATCAAAAGGGATAAAGACCACAAACTGCTTGACGAAAAGTTTAAAACTTGAACTCGAATCTGTTTCCTATACAAGAAGTTCAGCGGACAACTAGACCACTAATGATGATTTGCTTGAAAATACAGAGAAACTGGAACTTAATGCTACAGCAATACACCTTGCAAGACTCATAGAAACTGGCAGCTGCAGAAGATCTTTGTTGGACCTACATCGGTACTGACAGAATAAGTTACTGGAAACAGCTTAAATAAGCGTTAGTCCGAAGTGTGTTGGACGTGTGTAACTATAATAAACCGCTATCATTCCTGACAAAAGATGATGAAACTACTACCACATCCCACTACGATATGGAACTGACAACAGAAAGTTCCGTAGCAATATTTTACTGCAAGCTGTACGAAGATTATCTTATACGGCGCAGAATAAGGACTCCGGGTGATTCACAACCAGTTAAGCAAACAGGATTCCGACAAGGATTCTATTATATGGACCAAACCCAACCGTATTAACCCATAAAACTTTGTCGGGAGGACCATCCGACTCTTGTTCTAAGCTTTACAGACTAAGATAAAGCATTAGACAACATCTAAACAAATGCAAACCTATCAACGCTCATTGAACAAGGACCTATCCTATGTACGAACACTAGCTAACTGCTAGCGGAACTGCGGCACAAGCACACAGTTTTTTCATTGAGCACTCGCCATAACCATAGAAAAAAAGGGTTAGACAAAGTGAAACAATATTGCGAAAGCTGTTTAATGCCGTATTATAGAGGACTCGATTAGGACAACATGGGTAAACGTATTGATGGAAAATTCCCGGAAAATCTTCATTTCGTGGATGGCATAAATAAAACAAAGACTCAGCTCATGAGTAACCCATTGTTCGAAGGCGAAGAAATAGAATTGGATGGTTATCTGATTAAAGAGACCACCTCGCATGTGAACCTTGGACGTTCAACGGACATGCAGAAAAAATATAAAGGGAGAATTAGACATCAGAAAGAGAGCAGTATGGGGCGCAATCGGGTCTCTCAGAAAAGCCACTGACGAACTAATGGACCTGAAGCACTACGGTCCCCTTTTCAACTCAAAATCCTCCCAACGCTCCGTTAGGCAGCCGGAACGTAGGCTAATACTTCAACCACGTCAAGAAATTTGCGCACAACCCACATAACGCCTGAGCGATTTCTTCTGGAGTTTAAACGGGACTCACAACGTATAACCGTAATGCGTGACTTAGATATTCAAAAAAATATCCCATCCTCGGGATCCACGGGAAAACATGAGGATCGCGAGACATAGATGGGCGTGTCACATAATAAGAATAACAGCAGATGAGCGAAGAGAACAGTGAAGTGGACTTCAAGAAAATGCACGCATACTCTTGGAAGGGCTGATGTGTTCGTAGATAAAGTCAACCATCTACATTCGCGCATTGGGACGATTTTAGGACTACGGAATGGGCTTTGCGGACGTTAATATTATCAAAGCAGACCACTACCATCGACGACGATTGCGCGAAAGAAAAAGAATCAAAGATGTCACCGAAATTGATATTACAGGACTTATTAATCCAGAATAGCTGACTTCTTCAAACACTCACCGTTACGGTTTTTGTACGCTTTTCAGTTATTTTGTGGAAAACAGCAGCACCCAGCATGAAATTGGCGAGGAGTGCGCCTAGCTCAGGTGAAGGAATCAACTTGAGGTATGGCGCTAGGATATGCATGGTCACGAGACACTCACTTTTGTGGTTCATTTTTGAATCTTTGAAAATTACCTAGAACGCTTTAGGAGTTTTACGCGTTAAGGTTTTGGATTGGAGTGCAACGATAGTGACTCCTACTTCAAAATCTTCTCCATTATGTTTCTGCGTCCGGTGTGCGGAGTGTTTAGAGTGTTTGGTTTCAATTTAAATTTAACGATTACGTGTTCTATTATGCGGGCACAGTCTGCCCGTTTCGCCAACTCATTCGTTCCACATTCGAATCATCTACATGAGATTAAGAACACCGTACTTGAACTCATGCAACCATCGTCTCTAAGTTTAGAATATATTATGCAATTTGTCGTTTACATAGACTTAGTGAAGCTGTTTTCAGAAAACTTGAACATTCAGAAAAGGAAACCAACTTTCTTTCGCTCTCTCTCGGGTGAATGTCATATACTGACTGCTTACTCAATAAAACAATTGTCCAAGTCCTTTTGTGTGCAGAAGACGACAAAACAATCATCTCTATATATCCTCAGTAGAGTTACGGCCCGAGATCGATGACTAGTGTTTCCATCTTAGACATAAATCCAATGGCAAAGCTTGGTGCTAGCCGCTGCCCCATTGCTAACCCTTCCATTTGTGCGTAATAATCCCCTGAACACCTGAAGATCGACCAGTTTAAGCAATGCTTCACGACGGCCATCAACTGCCGAATCATCATTCGACACGTCGGCATAAAGAGCGGTAATGTAGAAAGACTCCATAACACAGGCGTTGTTCAACGCGCCTCGTCCAAACGATCAGTAACATTGGGTAATCATAAGATAGGCTGCGATGTCATTAAGCAACTGAGTGAGAATTAGGTTTATAAACCAAGCTATTCTATCCGTGGACCCATCTACACAGCTGATTATGTTTTTAACTTTGAAGATCGAGAAGTAAATAGACGCCAGATCATCAGAGGATACTAACTAGAGCTTTGATCACCAAGCAGAAGATGGGACATGTTGATAGTTCGATTGTAAGTTGCGAAATAACTGATGGTTTTAAGGATGCCGCGCTTACCACTTCAACCCTTTCCGTGTTCCAATTTTCAATATTGACTTTTGATAAGTATAGAAGAGGATATCTTGGTAAATTCTTTTCTGAAAATTTTATTTAAACAAAAATGATCAACAAAAAACTTAGCAGTAGTAGAAACTACTACTGTACTTGGTCGAGACTGTCAGACGATTGCTTTCATTGTTCCGCTCGCAAATGCATGAGATCCAGTCTCCGGCTCTTCAAAGCTCGAACGGATGTATTTCAATGCGACTGAACAAACGGCTAGCATCGCCTTCAATATGTAGACGGTACCCAGATGAGTGCTCATCATCTTCGTAAGCTGGAGGAGGTGTAGAGAATATTCCGAAGGGTGCGGACACCGAAACGTCAGCTTATTCGTGAATGAGGAATAAAATAACTCATGTTTGCTCAACAAGGACATAAAAGTTTGACTTTTAAATTGATTTTCTGATAACGGGCAATAAAAGAAAGCAATCTCAAGATGTTTATTCGTTATATCAGCATATAAGTAGCGAGGAATTACTACAAATTCTGCACCCTTAGCACTAACTGACAGTCTAATAGTTCTTGAATATATTACTTCCCGATCCTGCTGCATACCATATTTTGGCTGCTCTAAGATTGGAGCCAACTTTTTGTCGCGATTGTAGCTAAGGATACTGAGGGCTTCGTAACTTACTAGTGGAGGTTTACTTCAACTTTGTCACTGGCGTCTCGCTGTCTAGAAAACGCCGTAGGGAAAGGAGATAGTGGTAATGTCAATACTTTTTTGTTTTTCATTCCTACTCAGTGTTCCAACTCCAACTTTATTACGGAGTCGATCTTAAAGCTCACGCAGACTGCATGTGATCCTACGCAAGGTTTATTTAAAAATGGGTTGTGCCGGTGAAAAACTTGGACACAATTCTAATAGCGAGCGCGCGTCGTCAGGGAGGGTCACGCCTCCTAACACGACGACCCTTGACTTTTCCGGTACGTGATCGACTTTAGTTTGACTCTTAAGACTTTCTTTCACTGTTCACTTGAAGCTGATTTATGCCAGTGGTTTGACTACTTTAGCATATGACTCAATGTACTTGTTCATTACTTCTCTTCTCACTCACACACCAAAACGGTGCTTCTAAGAAATATCTTTCGAACATTCACCAGTGTTTGCATAGTAAGAGAGAAGAAGAAAGAATCCTTGAAACAGGTGCAGCAAACAGCCATTTCAAATGGCTACGAAACCGTAGCTCCTTGGGATAACTGTAGAGGAAAACCATATTCTCAAAGGATGATTATAACGAGAAGAAGGTCCTCCCTTTATTCCCAACGAAATAACTGCAGCTATAAAACTTTGAACAAGAAAACCCGGCATACAGAATTCGCTAACGGTGGTTGAAATACCACTGGACACTCTAAGACGGCAGATAGTTCGTAACCGCCAATAGGACCGGCTATGCACAACGCAAAATTGCATTATATGTCCTGATGGTACAGGAGGTGAATGCATGAGTTCGGATACTGTGTGCCTAATCTCTTGGAAAGTGTGCAGGACGAATACATTGGCGAAATCGGTAGATCGCTGTGCATCGGCATGAAGGAACACCTAATCGGTAAATTTAGAATGAAACCAAACACTCCAGAGGACACAGAGACAGCAGAAAAAATTATGAAGCGGAGGTCAATATTCTCGCACAGGAATTCAAGACATCAGAAGATCTAAAAATAATCGCAAGGACTTATGAAGAGGTTCCGCCGAGTAGACTGAATGTCAATTTCACTTCTTCAAGCTCTGAAGAAGGTGAAATCGGGGAAACGTCAGCTATTCTACATTAAAAAATGCTGTAATACCGAACTCGTATTTGCTCATCAAGAAAAACAGTGGATAACTGATCAATTCAGAGGTTAAAATTCAAGAGGTTAGAGAGGTTTGAAGCCTGCACTACTCTTGAAGAAAGACCATCAAAGCATCGCTATGCATATCGCAGAGACTTGAAGGAAATATATCTTCTATCTTCTGTTATCCTCTCATTTTTAGTCCGAGTAAAATTGCTATTAAAGGAAAAAAAATGGAGCGAGAGAAAAATATCCCGGAAAAAATTAAGGAACTCAAAAGAAATAAAAAACTACATCAAACAATGGATTGAAAACTAACAACGCTTTCTATGAAAACTTAATTTTTAGTGACACACCTTATCAAAAAGCTCGTCTCTGTCAAGCTGCCGAATTCGTGGATACGTATTTTTCCATTCTGTTTCAAGGTTGAACCTGAAATGAAGCTGTTCAACAGATAATGGCAGATGAAGGAAACAACATTACTAAAAAGAAAAGAGGAAAATTGTGAAACAAAATAAGGAATTAAAAACTGCCTTCTTGCTCGGAACGCATCAGTTTGACTCTCAATTGAATCACGAACCATCCGCCAGAAGCATTCTGATACAGCAAATGACATGTTTTTTGTTGTCATCTGCGATGGTTTTAATACACCATCTCTAAACCATAGTCACTTTCATAATAAGTGAAAGATTTACAACTCAATGCTCATTAAAGAAGAAAACGAGATCTTCCATTATAACTCACTTTAAGAGAGAGCTGTTGGCGAAAAATTCCTCTTCATATTTACGAATCTCCTCTATGGAATCAGCACTGTTTCCACGCCCAGTTACAACTCCGAAGTAACCAAGCGCTTTCATTGGAAGCAATTTCCCCTCTAGAATTTTTTTTATTCTCTCAGGATTGGTCAAATTCTTTTCCGCCATGTCAACCTAAAAAACATAGTAAACCTCACAACAACTAATTTTGGCAATTGATTTCTCTAATAGATACTTTCGTGAGAACAAGGATTGTTCTCTTCCCTTGAGGATCAACGGTATTAACTAGATCTGTTACGTTGCTACGTTCTGCGTCAACTGAACTGAAATTATACAACAGTCAGGTCAAAAATTTTGGAAAAAAATTGATAGCTAGTTCAAACGGACCCATCTTGAATACAAAGAATGATTGCATTAGGATTTTCCATGTGAGCACGACTCATTTTAATTATGTCGTCTTTGGTATCTTTAGCCATATCAGCAGTAACTGTAGAGATAACACCAGGAAGATCTACCAGAACCATCCTGGCAATATTTGGTCCTGACAGCGATAAATATAAATTTTTACTCCGCTAAATCTGTAACTTCGAATCTAATAAAAACCTTTTACGGTAAGAGATATAACATTATTCGATACTGTACGTCCATTCTCCACCGAATTTCGCATACGAACTTCAATCTCCGACCTCAACTGGTGCTGATCGACTTCTTTGGACAGATCAAATTCTCGGGTAGAATCTTTGAATTGAGCCACATGGTAGGGACCCTCTGACAAAGTTACCTGGAATTGAGGGTCTATTCGTCCTATCTTTTTCTCTGTTTTGTGTGATGTAGCTGATAATTGTCCACCTTCACTGGTGCACGTGTCATCATTTCTCCAGATCCACGAGGAAAAATGCGAGCTTGAGCAATCATTTCCAGGACGGAAGTTTTCCCTAAAATTATTGAACCGAAGTGAGTATATAAATGACAATTTAAAAAGCCATACTGTTACTACAACTACCCACATACCACTTGAACCACTTCCACAATTAGACACTAATACGCTCCAAATCACATGGGGTGAGCTCGATAATGCACATTTAATCATTTCCATCCTCAAAAAAGGCCATTCACGAAAACTGCAATATTTTTGCAACTCTACATTCTTAAAATCACTACTTGCTAGGTGAATAATTACCACTATGACCACTTTACAGGTATAACACATAGTAACACGTGTCAGATGGTGTCCCACAAGTATTAGTTAAGCTTCCCACTAGACTGCCCTTATCGACTAATTGCTATCGAGTTCAACACCGACAATTCCACTTATGTCTTGGAATACATATTCTTGAGTCCTATACGTGAACACCTTTACCATTAAACCTTTAACAGCACCACATGACGCTGCAAGCACCTGTGGACGAAACGATAACTCGGACTCAAATTTCTACGTCTGAAATCCAGTGAAAGGACATCACAACATAACAACTGAGCTTAGCAGTGGGATTTTCCAGAGTCAAAGAGTAGGATAACTATTGAGAAGCACACACCTTCCAAGATGCTGAGGACTTCATTTAAGAAAAGACGAAGGCAATGATAAAATTTTATGGTGCTCCCTACACAAGATAAAGGCCTATTTCCATAAATGTTGAACATAAGGCTCATTCTTGTAGAATTACCACTCCAAATCCAATTTATCACCATGAAACAAAACAAATGGGGAAGATGCGCTAAAAGTTTATATAATCCCAACCACCGTTCAAAAAATATCCAAATTAGGAAGTTAGGCGATGAGTCCTTCATGCGTATTTTCATTGGTATTTCACAATGCGAACAATTTCTTCAAAAAACTTTGACTATAGAGCAACCATTCTTCTCAGTGGCTTCGAAATATGTGCTAAACAAGCTATGCATTATCCAGTGAGTAAATGGGAATATACTTTTCAAACCAACCATCATTTAACTTCGGTATGAGTAATCAATGCGCGTCATTCCATTTATAAACTAATACGAGACTCGATGTTTTTCTTCAATAAGCAAACACGAGGTTGTTATTATAGGATTCATTTGGAGGTCCTTCTGAAGGTCTGTTTAAAGTGCTCGATCTTCAGATGGTCCGGGAAATATTACGCGCAAATTAGAGGGTTGGCAGTGGAACAGCGACTGGCACCAACCCTTGCTGTTGCCTTTATGTCTAAAGTGGAAGCGTCAGTAAACGATCTCACGCCATTACTCTACTGTAGGTATATAGATGATTGTTTTGTCATCTGTTCCACACAAGAGATGGACAAATGCTTTAAGTTATTGAATGAACACTCAGAGTACATAAAATTCACCCGTGAGAAACCGAAAGAAAACTGGCTTCCATTTCTAAACCTTCAAATTAACCTATCCGAGAACGGCTACAACACAATGGTATCGAAAGCCAAGCAGTAAGAATATAGTGGTTCACTACCGCTGCTCTCACCCCTCACACACTAAAAGGGCGCTTATAAGAAATATGTTTCGAACCGCCACCAGCATGTGCACAGGTACAGAGTAGAGGAAAGAATCCTCGAAACTGGCGCGTCAAATAGCGATTTCAAATGGTTACGAAACCGCAGCTTCTCGCCATAGGCATAGAGGAAAAACCACGCAACGAAGCGATAATTCTAGGGAAAACAAGGCTCCGTTCCTCTTGCCCTTTATTCCAAACGAAATAAATGCAGCTATAAAACGGTGCTTAGTAAGGGTCAGTCTAGAGAATTTCATAAGTGATAGAAGTACCATCCGACACTCTGAGACGCCAGCTAGTTCGCAACCGCCTATATGACCGTCTATGTATAACGAAAAACTGCATAATTTGCCCTAACGGTACAGACGGTAATTGCATGACTTCGGGTACAATCAATCTGATCTCTTGTAACGTGTATGAGGAAGAATACATTGGCGAAACGGGTAGACCACTCTGTGTCCGCATAAAAGAACACCTAGTCGGTAAATCTAAATTAAAACCAAACACTCCACTAGGCGCGCATAGGATGCAGAAACACAACGGAGAAGATTTTGAGGTAGGAGTCACTATCCCTACGCAGGAATCGAAAATATCAGCGTGTAAAACTCTTGAAGCGTTTTGGATCACTTCCAAAAATTCAAAAATGAGCCGCAAGGAGGAGTGGCTTGTCATCACGCGTGACCTGGCGCGGTACCTCAGGCTAATCCAACGACCTGACACAGGCACAGCCCTCGCCCATGTATTACTCTGTGCGGCTGCTATCCATCAACTAACTTAAGTATTTACAACAAATAAGCGGTAGGTGTTTAAATGAAGCTGTTTCTTATACGAATACAAATTTATTTGTTAAGTTTTATATGCTAGAGTTATGAAAGTGTTTGGCTGGGTAGATCGCATCTCAATTCGACCTTTCCAGGCTCTGAAGAAGGCGAAACCGCCGAAACGTCAGCTATCCTATCCTAATAAATCCTATAACAACCTTGTGTCTTCATTTACTGCCTCTTTCTTTTTAATGGCAGGGTATGTTGCGAAATATAACTCGTATATAATGCTGAAATATTTGCAAAACTCCGAACCGCAAGTGTATGCGGTGGGGAATGAACGCGCGCTATTGTCCTTTCCGGGAAGTAGCGCACTTCACAACCACACCATCCGGCGTTTTGCCTGTCTCTCAGCTAATTCTAACTTAACTGGGTTCAATGCCGATTTGGGCTCCCCAGATCAATCCCGCTGACGGGTGACTGCTGATGCAAAAGATCGACAGAACTAGCTGAGAGACAGGCAAAACGAAGGACCCGGATGGTGTGGTGGTGAAGTTCGCCAGTCCCCGGAAAGGACAATAGCGCGCGTTCGTTCCCCACCGCATACACCTGCGGTCCGGAGTTTTACAAATATCTCAGCATTATATACGAGTTATATTTCGCAACCTCGTGTCTGCTTATTGAAGGAAAATACATCGAATTATTAATCAATGTCGAGGTTAAAAGAAAGTTGGTCATGGGAATTAACACGAGATTGTTACCACATATAAAAAACAGTACGAAAAATAAACAATAACACATGAACGATAATAAATAACAAATAATAACAATAATAAATGAACTTAAAGAACAATATATAGCAATACAATAATAATAAATAAGCAACAAGTATAATAAATCTGTGGTAACAACGTCGTGTTCCCTCATCAATGAAGTAATCTGGAATACATTGCGGAATTATAGCAATATGCTCCACTGTAGAAGAAGCATTAAATTGAATCAAGCATAACTCACTTCGGGACACATAATTATAATTAGCGGAAGAAGAACATTGCAGGATCTTCAACAGCTCAGGAAGGTGGTTGTGCCAAAGGAGGGACAATAGAAACTATTTTTTAAACACGAAATCGATTTCTATGTGGACACTAAGTCTTATTTCGCCATGACCAGGATATTGAGAACAAGGACACATTATTACATTCAACCGAAAAATAGAAGTTAGCTATCGAGTTTTACCGAATTGTTTCTTCAACATTATTCTAAAATAGTTCGAGTGCCAAGAAATTAGAAATGCGACCCGCCAACAAGAGTATAATCCTAACGAATACGAGACATTTCTGTCATTCTCATTTGATGTCACTAAGAAAAGCGATCAATAAGTCCGGATAACTACTCACTCTATCCAACGCTTTAGCATGTTACAACCAGAAAAAACTTCAAAAAGCGTCAATCAGGTATTTAACTTGTATTTAATCTAAACCTCAGCGGATTACTAACTACCACAGGTAAACCCAATGAAAATTTAAAATCAAAAAATCAGTTGTTCAGCTCTCACAATACAATACGGTATAAATAAAACAAGACTGAGATCTCAACGAATTCTTTTGCTTTTAAACACTCTTCAGTGAAAATGCTCAAAACGTACTTGAAAACAGCCTCGAATGCAATTCATTTCTTGCTTTCCTTAACAAAATTGCACAGATTTGTACTACAATGTAAACTAATCGCAGCAATACAGATCCAGTAAAAAAATCAGGCACTTCAGAAATTTGGGATTAATCAGAACAACAAGGAAAGGAAGCATTTATTCCTGCACCTTGGCGTTGTAGTGCAAGGAAGTGAATGAATGCATCAAATCTTCAACAGAGTTACACCAGTGTAAACATTGCTCACCACCATTTTCTACAAGTTGAGTGACAGGAATTACTTTTTTCCGACACCGACATTCCCGAAATACTGCGGAGCCTGTAGTTTGGGTAAAACCCAGTCCACCATAAAAGAAACATATGTCGCCCACCAGAGGTGGATCCATCTCACAATTTGTAATGCAAGATAAGATGTAGAAAATATGATTACCAGACAGCTGCAATTTCGGCTCTACATTAATAAAAATTTCAAACCAACACCTTATAAAAACATAGCCAATGGTATCCACGTAGGCGAACATCAAATTTCAAACTTATACATGACGTCACAACCAATGAACCAGTTCCTTGCAGATCTGCGCAGCTGAGTGGCTCCTCTCAATGCTTCTTTGAAGCACTTGTTAATAAAAAAGCAGACTTTTCAAAACCCAACCACAAAGAAGGAGCAATATACTCGCGGGAAGGATGTACAGCTTTTATTCCAGAAATTATCAGAGTATACAATAATATCATTGCTATAAACGACGAATGAGATGGAAGGAAATCATTAAGTGGAAAAATCAAAATTAAATCATTAAGGAAATCATCGACCATTCAGTACTTAAGTGTGTGTCAAAATAAGAACGCACGAACGCTTAACATTTACTACACTGTTTGTGACTACAGAGCTGTTAGTTATCATACCTGCACTCTGATCTCCAACCACAACGACCCTCGGCAAGTTGTCCGTAGTATCATAGGAAGAATCGAATTCGTTCAGAAGATCCAGAACTTCAGAATACATATCAATAAGCGATCTCTAAACCTATTAGGCAATCCGAATGCAAAATAAAAGTGTGCGATGTCTTTATCAAAAAAGGAATGAAACTGAGGTTCGAGCTCATACAATCGCAAGTCATCACAAAAAACGCAATTCTCCGGAGCATACCGTAGAAGCATTGCTCAAAGCTTCTCGTAATAATCACTGCCTACCTCAGCTTGTCAATCTTTGTTTAATATATATATATATATATACATACATATACATGTATATATACACTCGAATATATGTACGCACATATGGCATACATTTGGGAAGGCATAACGCGTAAAATCATCACCTTCAGCCTCTTCATACGTTTCACTGCACCCTGATCTGCCAAAAGTATGCGTTGTTTCAGCACCATATTTTCCTTTTCCAGACGTTCTAGTTCCCTTTGATATTGACTCTAAAACACACAGCATTACGTCAATGAACAGTAAAGCCATAGCAATGCTGAAATATTTGCAAAACACCGGACCACAAGTGTCTGCGGTGGACAATGAACGCGCTATTCCATTTCGGAGTAGGGTAACACGTTCATTACCACACCAAACGGGTCCTTCGTTTCGCCTATCTCTCGGCAAGTTTTCTATCTACCAGTGCCATCAATAACCATCTGTCTGACCTGTGAATCACATATCGACACAGAACCCAGTTAAGCTGACACTAGTTGAAATCACAATATCAAACTTTCTACTTGTTGCCACTGAGACATTTGCGAAACTCTGGACCGCAGACTCCAAAACCTTCTCCGAAGTTTAAAAACTCCGGGAACTCCGAACAAATCAATGAATAGTATTTTCTTCGAAAAAAAACTTGATGAAACATTTCGGTTCCATAGTTGTTTTACCATTCTCATAATCATAAACACTATAATTCACCAAATGAGACAATGTTATCAACCTGCTTCAGTGATAGATGAGTATACTCTCCTTCTATCGCTGTAGTTTTGCAACATTTGTGCTTTATTAATAATGAAATATACGCTCGTGTCCCTTAATGAATCCTCAGGTATCCTGCCGTCAGGACACCTTGTATTTGATATGTTTAAAAAAACACATCCATATTCCCCTATCATCTTGTCCTATACGAAGCAAGACCACAATACGCCTAGTTTCCTAGTAATGGCAGAAATTTGTGAGACCTTGAGATTTAACCTCTGAAATGTATGAAAACTTTGAGAATGTGATTCGATATGCTTAGAAGATACACTTTTAGTCAAGCGTGAAATAATGCTGCTGAAGCCTTGGTTTCCTCTCGCACTATATATCCATACTCTGATTTTCAAGAAAACAATTTCAACAATTCAATCTTCCTTCTATTAAAAGTGGAATCGGACAAATAATAATACCTTACCTGCTTTTTAAACATTTCTTCTTGCAACCGTCTAATGCGCTCATCAATGCTTTCTTCATCTGCGCGCTCTTCGTCATTTTTCTTAGCACCAAATGCTGCCATAAAAGACAACAGAGTAGTTTCTGAACAAAAGGTGTTCGGCTGCAAAAAAAGCCGACAATTCCTATAAGCTGTTTTCATTGATACATATTAGATGATACCTTTAAACGGTTTCCCATCGCTGTCTGATTCCTGTTTCTCCCCAGAGTTCGTGACTAAAGCATTCACCTTTAAGGAAACAAGAACTTTAAGCAACTAACTTGCAGGTGATGATCAACGAGTAAAAGGAACAGAACCATGGTCTTTTCGAAGTGCTTCGAATTTGGCCATCCAGTGCGGGAGCTTGAACTCGGCATTTTCTCCTCCAAATCCCTTTTTTATATGCGAAAGCTGTTCAGACATGTCTCGCCACAAAGAGTTTGTATCGAAACTGCTCCAGCCACGTAAGGAGAAATCTGGTAAGTTTGACTTCCATTCTTCATACCACTAGAATAAAGGAGGTTCCATAATAAAAAACTATACAATAGTAGAATTATACAATAAAATAATAGTTGATAGAACTAGCTGAGAGAAAGGCGAAACGAAAGACCCCTATGGTGTGGTAGTGAACGCGTTAAGGGGCAGGGGTATTCGTTCCCTAGCAAATTCTCCAATCTGAAAAGGAGTTCGGTGTGTCTATCAGGAAACCCAGGCAATAGTAAAACAATATCAGGATTCACCACCGTCCTGGTATCAAACTAGTCGCATAGTGGTAAATCTCCCTCTCATCCACAAAGGCAGCGAATGCTTGTTTGTGGTGAAGACTTAGGCCAGACCTTAACCAGGCTGGCCTCGGAACTCCAGGGAAACAAAATGGCTAAACCATCAAAACTTTGAAAAATGGAGAATATGCTGGGGCCGCACAACTAGTGAGGACGGGCCGTCCAAGTATCCAAGTATAATAATCCACACCACAAGAACAATTGTTTCTAAAATTCGACTCGTACAGCTAGAATGAAACTTCACATTCTTTGCAGCGACGCTACCACCGATGACTCCTGTGGCAACAAGATAGCGTAACCTCAGAAAATGGCGAACCGCTCCAGCAACAAATTGTCGTTCCGCTCGGATATTGACTAGCATCTGTCTTTGCAGAAGTCTGCAAAAGAATCTGTTGTGCTAAAAGTCCTACAGAATGTTAAATGATGGCCTCTTCATGAACCAGATTTAGTTCAACAAACAAAGAGCTACTCGACTATCCAGAAGACGTACCGACGATGTTGGGATCTGAACGCTCCGCCGCTATGACTCAGACTTGACATCCCTCGTTTGCCCATTGTACCCACCATGTGAGGTTGCATTAGAAAAATTTACGGTTAGCATTCGCTAACCCTGAACATTTTATCAATGATGGAACGGTAAATTAACAAACTCTCTGTGTTACACGAAACACGAAAACAACTCTGAGCAGATACAAGGAACAACTTTAAGCTCGTTTTGCTTTGTATTTCTTCCAAAACACTGGTATCAGGGACAAAACAGCAAAGAATGTCAACAGGAACAAAGAATGGAAATCCCATGCTACGTTAGTGTGAACCATCTGTTCCAGAGTGGAACCAGCTTGGATATACAAAAAGCTTGGCGGAGCCACACCGAGGAATGTTCCTACGAAGAAATGGAAAAACGGAACATTAAGAACAGGACTAGCAATGTTTATGAACCAGTTAGGGAGGAATGGTGTGACTCGCAAGAAAATTATGTAACTGAGCAGATCATCTTGGTGTTTAGCGATGTCACCCTGCCATTGCCTCACTCGATCGGGGAATTTACGGACCACAAACTCACGACCGAATATATAAGAGAAAAGATAGCATACTGAGGCTCCAACGGCGGAACAGGTACACACGAGAAGTAAGGCAACAAAAAAATTGAAGAGATATCCTGACAATATGGTAAGGAATATCGATCCCGGTATAGCAAACGATTGAAGCATAATGTATACAACAACGACACCGAAGAAAATGGCAAACATATGTCGATCTCTGTAGTGCAGTAAGACTCGGCCAAGCCTCTTGGCTTCGTCGAGACTTCTTGGGTACTTAAAGTCCTTCTGATGCTCCAAATCCAACTCAGGAAAGTTGGAATAAATGACGAACAACAAAAGGACGAACGTGGCGAAGATCCCGCAAAGGATGAACACCCGACTCCGACCGGTGACAAGCATCGCTCTAAAAACAGAAGACATTTCGTAAGTAAGAGAAATGCAATGGGACAGAGATTCCGCGAAACGAAGGACTAACCTCAACCTCTGCCACCCGCCATGGACCTCAGATGGATCACGCGTGTTCTCCTCAAAGGACGCCGCGACTGGAGCAGTTCGCTGTGGAGCAAGTTTTGCGAATCCGGGAATGTTGCGCTTCCCTAAAAATGGGGACTAGGTCTCGTTCATATAGGTTCTTGTTTGGGAGCGTTATGTGTAAACAGTACAAACGAAACGAAAGACCCGGATGTTGTGGTGGTGAATGCTTTAGCATCCGAAAAGGGTAACAGGGCGTTTCCTACCGCAGACACCTAAGGTCTGGAGTTTTCCAAATGTCTCAGCGTCATTGTGGATGAACCCACACTTCTCTCCTGCTTCCAAGAATACATTTCTACTGTGCTTTCTGCTGTAAGCTGCAAATTCTCCACAACGAGTTCATCGTCTACATTTTCATATCGTCGATTATGCGGTACAAGTCACGCGAAAGTGGTTATAGGTTTTCCATGAGAGTTGGTGCTGTTGTGCTCGTCAAGAGTCAATGGAAACGTCATGTTCTACCGTCCCAGTGTCAATAGTAACCAAGAGGGGGTTAGGGTAAGTTGGCATGAATTAGCGTGGTCATGGAATGTGGTGAACGAATGAAGCTCAGCCTGAATTGTGGATTTTCAGGGCAATCGCGCAAAGACGTCTTCGCACTATTGTATGCGATAACCGCTTGGATTCGCTTAGAATTCTTCACAAACATCCACTGGTCGGTGCAACCACTCCAGTTTCGTGCATGGACATCGACAAAGCGGAGAATGCCTTGTGAGTGCTACATACTTACTTTGATATTTGGGTGGCCCATCCTCACTGGTTGCACAGGTGTTAGCATATTTTCCATTTTTTGGAGTTTTGATCGTTTATCCATTATGTTTCCCTGAAGTACCAAAGTCAACTTGACCAAAGTCTGCCCCAGGTCGTCACCAGCAAAGGCAGTCGCGGCCCTTGTGGATCAGAGGGAGATTTGCCACCATGCGACTAGTTTGATACTAGAACGATGGTTGATCCTGGTATTTCTTTAGTCCTAGCTGGGCTTCCAGGTGGAAACGCCAGACTCCTCAGTTTGGGAGACCCTGCCAGGGTTCTGAAATTGAATCCATCCGCCGTACATCGCAGCGCGACACCCAGTAACACCTCCCAGCCACGATGAGGAGTTAAACCATTAGGAGGGAGTGCTACATAACACTTGAAATCGACATCTTTCGAGAATACAAGCTCCGTTCTGCGGCAGATTGGGAGATTCATCTGACCAGCAACATTTACACAAAGCTGGAAGAGGTTTGAATAGAGGTCGTTAGCCACTGTAGGAAGAACAGATTTTCAAGTAACTTAGCTCTATGTATTACTAAAACACCGTAAGTGAAGAGTTCTTTCAGTCTCTTATGTGGTGCTGTGTCGGGAAAGATTTATTTGTCCAATCTTTACCATAGTGACGTCTATGGACCAGTTCAAAAGGAGACGTTCACTTTACCTGAAACATTGTTCGTTTTTACTGCATTTTGCTTTTTTATACAAGTTGACCACCTTCCGACTTTTGTAATTCAGCCGTCACAAGCACTTCGTCAGTGGCTGTCAGTGGTACCACGACATTCGGCTCTTCGTCTCCGCAAGTTCTACTGGCGAACTGACGGTACATTTTTAACATTCTTTCGTCATTTGATAGAAATATGTTCTCTCCGGACTCCTTTCAGAAACCAGCGAAACCTTAGGGTTTTAAGGACCTTCTTTTTTGTAGTATATGAAATATTGGGTAAGCTTTAGACCCGACAGGAGCTTATTTGCTCTTCATTAGCACTGTTCTTTTGTTACAGAGCTAATAGAGTATTTAGAGTAAAGCTGTTAACGGTGTCGTTTCAGGTATGGGATCTCGGAAGTTTTTGTATTTTGGAATCTTACAAAATTTGCGAAAGTGGAAAGTGGAAGCCTCAGCTTCACTGGAATGAAATCGATAAGTCCAATCCACTTATCGCACTAACAAACGGAACAAATCATGTTCCTCTGTATGACTTGAGGTAAGTCTTGATCCTTCTTTGTGCCCAACTAGTTAAATCGATACCAGTTGTGTAAGTTATTTTCTATTTATTTTGTTCAAAACTTCAAAGAATGTGAAGCGTGTGATGGGATTCCCGTGCATTTTTTGGACAAAAGCGTCCTGTCATCGCTTGGGTCAAAGGAACTAATAGTTCTCTTATTTGCGAACACTAAGCCATTGATCAACTTTGCTTATTTGATGTGCAATGGTCCACTCTGCGCCTGTAGCGCAATGGTTGCAGGCGCTTTGCAACATAAGTGGGATCGATCACTGCGCCTCTGGTCCACCAAGCTCTCCGTCCCTCCAAGGTCGGCAAATTGGTACCTGATTTGTCTAGGAGGATAACAGCACTGGCTCGATACAGCAATAGGCCACCGCGAGTAATTATAAAGGCCATATATACATTCAATCGCCTCTAGCGATGATTAATGAAGTCGTATGCATGGCGCATCCCCCAGGGACTGGTCAAGCCGTTAGCTTCATCCTTTTTTAAAGCTATTCACGACATTGCGCATAGGCCACACCTTTGCCAAGTAGGAGTCCTGTGTTTGAAAAATGAATTGATAAGGAAAATGCTACAGAAAGGATTACCTCTTGTTACCTTCATAGTTCCTAGATACTTGGTGTTCCAGAATACGTTGTCACTACCGTGAGGCGCTAGGCATACACGTAATTTTAGGATATCACCGTTTCTGTCCTTAAAACCACGACGAATTCTATTTTTATATGGTGCGATATTATGCTATGTTTCTATGTGCAAGTCTGCTAGTTGACCTTTAAGTTTTCTTTACAACTTTAGCCTTATAAATGTTTGTTCCAGAATAGGAGATTTGGCTCAGATACTCCGAATTAACGACACTAGCGTTGTTGGAGCAGTTCGTTGGCTGCCATCGAAGCACCACATTTTGTTTTCGGGTGACAATAGTGGTATATTGGCACGATGGGATATCAGGTATTCAAACGCTGTTAATGTTCTCTCTAACCTTTGTATAGCGATAGATTTCTTGTTGTGCAAATTTTCATGCCATTATTATATTGCTCAATGGGAAACTATGAAGATGGAATGTGAGGTGTTCGGCCTTCAATTCCTCTGGAATGTTGTTTTCGTTAAGCATCGTAGAGCTGATAAAAGATAAAATGTAGGTTTTACGTATACAATTACTCTTGGTGGCCTTTCGATGTATCAACTCAGTCTTTTGGCCTGCCAAACAACTCTGATACCAGTTTGCTCTTCCTCTTGGAGGTTTGGAGACCTTGGTTTGCTTGGGGCACGATCTGTAAAAAAGGATCGCATGTGTAATGCAGGGGAACTCTAGCCACTGCGCCGCATGCACCATATATGAAGATACACTAGGAAGTATTGTGCATACTTTCCCAATACCAAATGAAATACGGTTTCTCATGCTGGTAATTTTGGTAACAAATGTTTCCAAGCTTTAATGTGCATTTTAGATTAAATGATGAGAAGTTTTAATGATGATTTTGTTCTGCAAGCTCTGTCCAAGTGCAGACCCCTTTTCTACCACTCTCCTGAGTATGTCACTTGATAGAACTATCATTGTAACTACGAAGGTTTCAGGAGTAACCGAGGAGCGCTTTCATCGACCGTCATCAAAAAAGGGACAGGGATTAGAGGAATGCGCTTGACTTCTGATGGAAAACATTTGGTTGTTGTTCTTTGCAACGGAGCCGTAATTCTTTATGATGCAGTTACAATGGAAGTTCTTGCAAAGTATGAGGTAATTCATAGAAGTAAACATTCGTGAGTCCTGGTCAGCAATTTAACCCGTATTTGTCGTTTTCAGTCCCGAAATCTGAGAAAATTGAGTGAAAAAATGCTGCATGCTCTTGGTCAGTTTGCCATCTGTGACGAAGGAACTTCTATACGAGTGGCTCTTCCAACAGGAGATGATATTGATTGGATTCGCTTTTCAAAGGTACTGGGTTTTGCTCTTTTTTGTATATCATTGTCATAAGTAGTTTAGCTATTCAGGGATTTCGACAGGAACCTCGCGTCACATTCTGTTCTACTTTCTCGGGTCACTTGTCACAAGTAAATGCATGTGTATATCGAGTTGGATCTCAACAGGTTATTTTATTGAAGAAGTTTTTTGCAATTTGGTTAGATTTATATTGCCTTGAGCTATGACCTTAACAATGTTTAGCTGTACACAGCGGGTTCTGATCGCAATGTGCTTTGTTGGGCACCCGAAAGTGAGCGACATCGACTACAGTTGGAAACTGAAACAGTAAAACAATCTGTTTTAATGAACAATTGGAGCGACGATGACTGACATCGCAGTCACTGTAGATGTACGGTGTTATATTTTTCTTCCACCTTTGTTTTCTGGTAATTGTGGGAGACGGAAGTTCTGTCTTGAACCTAGTGCACAGTGCTTTGATAGGAAATTGGCTCGATATTCTTTAATTCAAGTGATCTCAGTCACAGTTTCTAGGACTTATTATCACACCTACCATAAGGTTCCATTTAAGACTGTGGATAAAAGTCGAATGGACTATATTTTTGCTCTGGATTCCTAATTTCGCTGTAATTGTTTAATTTGCGATGACTTTGGATGTTTTAAGACGTCTTGAGTGATGAAGATAGAATTTGGCAGATCAGTTTAAAAGGTTGCACATATTTAACCAAAACTACATATTCCCCTCAAATATCAACCCTTGTCATTGTGAAGCTAATGGTGACTGGTTTCTTCAAAAATTCCAGGTTCTGTTTCGTCACTTATAAGTTGTATACCTGTGTCGTTATTTGTGAAACAGAACTCCATCATTCAGTATGCTTGTCGGACCTCGTTAGCCAACCATCGCTTCTTGAAGTGCTCTGAAAAGTACTTAGTTTTCAGCAGTTAAGTCGATGACGTCAGTTCTTATTTACTGCCTACTATTTTTTCATGGCAGGTATTATCTGAAATATAACCATAATGTTGCTGAGGTATTTCTAAAACTCCGCACCGCTGGTATGTGCGGTGGGGACCGAACACGCTATTCCTTTTTCCGGGGCTAACGCGTTGACCACCACACAGTGCGAGTCTTTCGTTTCGTCTGTCTCTCAGCCTGACCTATTGCCTCTATCAGCAGTCACCCGTCGGCGGGGTCAATGGTGATTGCTGATAGTGCCTATAGCTCAGTAACACGGTTAACTTCTAATTATATTAAAATTGTTTCTCAGAGATAATTAGAAAGGTTTGAAATCTTTTGCCATAGTTAGTAGAGCTTTCTTTTGTTGACAGAGATGCTTAGATTCCATCGTGTTTTCCTCATTTCGCAGAAGCGTTGCACGAGCTAGCATGATGTCTTCAAAACTGAGAATTCGGAATCGGATTTTTTTACCCTCGTTGCTTAGAAAGAGCACGGATTTTCTATATGCAATATTGAATAGTGTTTTTTACAAATTTGTTTGACATGCTACTTCTTTTTAAGATGACTTCAAAGAGTTTTACCGTCACTGTATCCATTTATAGTAATCTTTTACTATAATAATTATGTGGTGGGATAGATCAGTGGTTAGTGATGCTATCGATCAGGAAGCAAAGGCGCTAGTTTAACTGTCTCCCCAACGCACGACTAGAGTCCACATGGGAACGCTTTATCCCCATTGCCTCCAAGATTGCAAGGAGAATTTACTCCACAAGGAGCATTCTACAACATTCATAAAGAAGAGAAAGTCTTCAAGTAGCAGTCAAAACAACACGCGAACTGTTTGATGTAACTTGTGGACAGTGGATGCTACGGAAACGAATCGAATGCAAAAAGTGCTGGGGTCCACACAGTAGATGTGATGACGGGTTATTTTTTAAAAAGTGGTGATTGTAGGAGGCGTGTAGCGCAGTGCTTAGAGGTGCCAAACGTGATTTTTGATTTCATCACGCGCCTCGGACTCACCAAGCCTTCCATCTTCCCGTGTGTGGCAAATCACTACCGCACCTGTTTAGAAGGGTAACAGCACTGACTCATCTGGTGGTGAATCACATGACCCTGATACATCGGTAGGCCACCACAAGTCACTGTATAGGCCACATGTGCATTCATTCAGCTCTAACAATGCTTGATAGAACCAAATGCATGACGCATATCAACGCCCAATGCTTTATCTTTTTATCCTCAACGGTTGTCTCACCACCTGACCTCGTAGACAGCAACACCCAGTGTGCGAGCTACTGCAGCTGGTCTATTACTGGTTAAGGCATTTGTGATTCCCTGCAGTCCTGAGCTCGTCCTAGCTGTAGCTTCCCTCAATTCAGGTCCACTAGCAGTCCCAGCTCTTGTGGATTAGAGAGAGACTTACCATATTGCGGCTAATTTGATAGCTGGACGGCGATGGTTCCTGTTATTGATTTACCACCAACTAGGGCTCGAAATGGAAAAGCCGAACTCTTCAGCGTGGAAGACCCTGCCAGGAGATAATTCCCTGCTGTAAATAACAGTCCAACACCCAGCAGCACCTCCTAGCCACCACTGTTAGGCGGTAGACCATTGTGGAAGGACCTGGAGGTGCGAACGGAGATTTCACCTTTTAAGCTCCGTTCACGATTCTGAAGTTGAAGCGTACTTCGTAACATATGGTAGTAGAGAAGTACACAGAGTTGATGACCTCGTCAACACGAGCATTGTCATTTACGTCGAAAGCTTTGAAATAACTGTCAAGCCGTGGCGAAGACGCTCGCGATACATTCTCTTTGTCCTTGAGAAGGTTCTACAAGGAAGATTTTGCCTTCTACAATGCAGTAATTAGCAACTCCAACGCCAAGATTGGCACCAAGAAAACGTCCACAAAAAATCAAATTGGGTACGCGGTTTAGAAAGGGAAGAATAATGTGCGAGGAAATCTGATCTTATTCCTGTGTCGTAGACCATTTGTGGTAACTCGCAATTTCAGAATACTTCTTCTTAGCACTGAATGTGGGAGTCGACCAGAAAAGAGTAAAAGAAATTCCCTCTTTCGTGTGAAGTAGAGAAAGCTGCAACACCCAAGAAACGAAGTTTGAAAGCTGCCGTAAATCGCGATTTGTTCAGATCGTTAACCCGCTTTTCGAAAAATTCCGTCATTGACATGATAAATGGGAAGTATGACTCCCCTATTCATTGTCTTCACGATTGTGCTAAAAAAGCCGAGATTTTATGGTATAAACTAGGAAGCCGTCCCCCAAAAACTATTTCCCAAAGTGAACTAGGATTGAAGAATTTGAGTCTTTTTGTTTCCGATTACTCGTAAAGAACTCTTTTTCCGTATTCCTTTTTTTGCGGAAGGCTAGGTTAAACGTTTATGAAGTCAGTGCGCTACTCTTTAATTTGTTATTGTTTACTTTGCTTTAGATGCCATGCTCGTTTTGTTTCTGTTCTCAGCTTTTGTTATGTATTAAAACGTTTTGAAAAGGAAAATTCTCGTTGTTCTCCTAGTTAGTATTTCAGGGCTGTATGAGAGAAACTTATCTATGTTAACTATCTTATAATTTCCAGTCTAGTTACTAAAATGAACGGTAATGACCAATTTTCTGTGTACTTCACCGCTTCGGGTTTCGGTGTGTGTTGAACCGAAATGTCCAATCCGGAGTTCACATATCGTGGTCCCCCGAATCAAATAAGAGTTGGAAATTTCCACTCGGATGCTCACCTAAGAGGAAACCTCTCCCATGAAAGAACTCGACGAGCAAAATGTGCCTGCCTCGTCGCCTGAATTGAGAATAAAAATGAAATTGTCTGAAGTGTGGTGTTGTGTGATGTGTGATCATGGTCCTCGAGGAAGCGGGGCTTAGAAATTAACCGGCCCCCAATCGAGTTACTCGGTGCTGGTCAGGATTATAAGTGGTATGTAATACTGGTCACCTTCATGTTTTTATCAGCATAATTTGTGGTAAGCGAATAAACTGTTCCACATTCCATCTACAATAATGCTACAAATAAGGCCTGATGCCGCTCGCTTGCCAACTAGAGAGCTTTAACTTAAAACTTCACATATAAATGGAAGTTGCTCTTACTTATCAATCTTCCAGTGTAAATAATTTTTCGAAAACATTCCTTGAATTGCAAGTTTGTTCAAAATCTAAATTTAAAGAAGGTAAGTGGAATTATGCGAAAATTAAGGTCTGTACCTTAATTTCGTGTATGGCCGGATGTTGTTCCTGCAACAGAGTTACCCATGTTTAGCAGTTCGAAAATTCCATCCTGAAGTGCAACTGGGAATAAACTTACGTTGAGGATAGCCCTTCCATTGAAGAAAGCCAGTTATATTGTGGGAAATTAGCAACATCCTGTGGTCACAGCCTCAGAACCTTTCAACTGTAATCTCTAGGGTGGCACTGAGAAAGAAACACCCCCGTCCAACAACATTTCAATGGAAAAAGAATTGTGATGGGGCACGAGCAATACATGAATATGTGTCGTTCCAAGGCGCTAGTTGATTTTTGAGTACTGACACGACGTCATATGTTCTGTAGATCCCAGCACTCCTTGTATTTGATTTGTTTCCTCGCATCAATTACCGACGAATGTCTTCGAATTTTTTAAGCTTGAGTTTGACCACTGCTGGAGATTTCTTTTTGTCTTATTCACTCATGTGTACGAATGCTGGTCTAGTCGATTCCTCCTGAAATTCTGGAATAGCCTTGCCAGGGCGGGACAAGGGAAGAAGCGTTCTATATCGTCTTCGTTACATTCTAGTCCAGTGTTTGATTTCGAATCAGATAATATGTTCAGTCAACGTCTTCGACGTACACTCTGGCTTCATTTGTTCCTCATATCGGTGGAGCTGCACTTTTATTTCTCTATCATTTATCGTCCGGATTTGGCTTAACCAACATTCAACGACAGTCGTGAGGAAAGGGAAATTCGTAAACAGCAGCCGAACAAATCGAATGGAAGTAATGCTTAGCCAAAAATAAGTAAATAGAATTAAATACTAAACGATAGATAGGATTTCATCATACCACTTAGAATGACTTAACTTTCGTGGGTAATTAGGTGTGTGGGCGATGAAATTGGGCAAGAAAGTAAACGATTCTGTTCGTTTTAAACGAAAACTTCTTTCTATAACAATGGATTGGATTGTCTTGATATTTGGTCCCATGATTTTTGTGGTCAATGGTGATTTACTGATAGGCCTAAGAATTTCTGTGAATGTACTTCGATGCTTTTTGTTGTCATTGCAACTAAACACTGGTGTGGTATCCCTGGTTCATGAAGGAAATGATAAAGTATGTTCATGGGGTGGGAATTTGTACACGGTTACTTCTCAGCACCGAGGTCAACCGCTCTGTGCTTTGTAATTCAAAAATCCAAG